CGCGCGCATGCCGAAATCCTTCAACAACCTTTGGTGCCAGAAGAATTTCGCAACCGAGTTTCCCAAAAAGTATACAAAAACACAGGGTTTCGCAACATTGAGTTGCTAAAAAGCTTCCGCGCGAACTCTAGCGAAATCTTAAGAAAACCATCGGTTTTCCAAAATTTTCACAACATGCTATTAAACGGGCTTCGCGCGCGCGCATGTCGAAATCTGTCGAACGCCCTTGCGCGTGTGCCGTCGCGAGAATCTGTTTTGCAAAAAATGGGACGCAGAGCAGACGCGCGCGTCGTCGCGCGCGTATGCCGAAAACCTTCAAAACCCATCGGTTTTGGAAAGATTTCAAAATCGTGTGTCCAAAAAACCTTCAAAAACACAAAGTTTCGCAAGACGGATTTTCAACAAAAGCGTGCGCGCGCGCTCTTGCGTCGTCGTCGTCGTCGTCGTCGTCGTCGCCGTCCTCCCTCCTCCCGCGTCGTCGCCGTCGTCGTCGCCTACGTCGTCCTCTGTCTTTCCTCGTGTTCGTCGTCGTCGTCCTCTTTGGCGTCGTGGTCGTTTCCGTCGTCGTTGTTGACGTGGTCGTTCTTCCTCCTTGTCGTTGTCGTCGTCGTCCGTCGTCGGCGTCTCGTCGTCGTCCCTCCTTTTTCGTCGCCGTCGTCGTCGTCGCCGTTGTCGTCGTCGTCTTCCCTCCTCCCTCGTCGTTGTCGTCGTCGGCGCCGCCGTCCTTCCTCCTTTTTCGTCTTTCGCGTCGTCGCCGTCCTCCCTCCTCCCTCGTCGTTGTCGTCGTTGTCGTCGTTGTCGCCGTCGTCGTCCTTCCTCCTCCCTCGTCGTCGTCTTCGTTGGCGACGTCGTCGTCGTCTTCGTCGTCGTCGTCGTTGTCGTCGTCGAAGTCGTCGGAGACGTCGTCGGTGTCGTCGTAGTCGTCGTCGTCGTCGTCGTCGGCGTCGTTGACGTCGTAGTCGTCGTCGTCGGTGTCGTCGTTGTCGTCGTCGAAGTCGTTGGAGACGCCGTCGGTGTCGTCGTAGTCGGTGTCGGCGGCGCCGTCGTCGTCGCTGTCGTCGTCGGCGTCGGTGTCGTGGCCAAGTGTCATGTGGTACGTACCGTCACGGTCTTGTCTTAAGAGGTCTTGCGACCAAGTTGCGGGTGGGAGGGTGGGATGTTTGCACGAGCAGTGGAGAGGACAGCTGCAAGACTGTCAAATATTAATTTCACCACATAGAATGCGCACCACATATACGGTACCACGTAAACTGCACAACACATATCTTGCAACATATATAGCAAAACAAAGATTGCACCACGCGCGTTGCACCGCATTGACTGGACCACAAAGGTTGCCCCACAGAGATAGCACAGAATGTATTGCTCTACCTAGGCTCCACAAAAGAGATTGCCCCACGTAGATTCTCTTTTCTACAAACAGAATAACTCTACCCCCCCCCCGGCGTTATCGCTACCCCTTCCGGGTACGTAAATCATATATGATTCTGACCACATGCCCATCCCAAGTATGAAATCACAATGTCAAATGCCAACCGGTATCTTCCTCCCTGAGGGTCCCTTGTAAAAAACACTATGCGGTGACATGTTTTGTTCTAACATAGCACTTTTTCACGAATCCCTTGCAAAAAATGAGACGAAGTGCACACGCGCGCGTCGTCGCGCGCGCATGCCGAAATCCTTCAAAGACCTTCGGTGCCGGAAGGATTTCGCAATCGAGGTTCCAAAAAACAGAAAAACACAGGGTTTCGCAACATTGATTCGCTAAAAAAGCTTCCGAGTGAGCTCTTGCGAAATCTTAAGAAAACCATAGGTTTTCCAAGATTTTCACAACATGCTATTAAACGGGCTTCGCGCGCGCATGTCGAAATCTGTCGAACGCCCTTGCGCGTGTGCCGTCGCGAGAATCCTCTGCAAAAAATGGGACGCAGTGCAGACGCGCGCGTCGTCGCGCGCGTATGCCGAAAACCTTCAAAACCCATCGGTTTCGGAAGGATTTCAAAATCGTGTGTCCAACAAACTTAAAAAACCTACAAACACCCAAGGTTTCGCAAGACGGATTTTCAACAGAAGCGTGCGCGCGCGCTCTTGCGTCGTCGTCGTCGTCGTCGTCGTCGTCGCCGTCCTCCCTCCTCCCGCGCCGTCGTCGTCGTCGCCTACGTCGTCGTCTGTCTTTCCTCGTGTTCGTCGTCGTCGTCCTCTTTGGCGTCGTGGTCGTTTCCGTCGCCGTTGTCGCCGTGGTCGTCCTTCCTCCTCCTCCCTCGTCGTCGTCGTCCGTCGTCGGCGTCTTGTCGTCGTCCCTGCTATTTCGTCGCCGTCGTCGTCGTCGTCGTTGTCGTCGTCGTCTTCCCTTCTTCCTCGTCGTTGTCGTCGTCGGCGTCACCGTCCTTTCTCCTTCTTCGTCGTTCGCGTCGTCGCCGTCCTCCCGCCTCTCTCGTCGTTGTCGTCGTTGTCGTCGTTATCGCCGTCGTCGTCCTTCCTCCTCCCTCGTCGTCGTCTTCGTCGGCGTCGTCGTCTCCGTCGTCGTCGGCGTCGGCGTCGTTGTCGTCGTCGAAGTCGTCGGAGACGTCGTCGGTGTCGTCGTAGTCGATGTCGTCGGTGTCGCAGTAGTCGGTCTTAAGAGGTTTTGCAAACCAAGTTGCGGGTGGGTGGGTGGGATGTTTGCAAGAGCGCGGGATGTGTCACATCATAGTTAAAAATCAATTGCACCACATAGATTGTTCCACATAGAGTGCTCAACGCATCCTGCTCGAAACACAGCGTTTTCGGCCCACGCTGGCTAACGCTTGTCCTGGGAATTTCTGCTTGGGCCAGTCCTGCGGTGAAGGGGAAACAGTGCCCTCCGAAACCACGACGGAGAGGTCTGGCCATTGTACTGCTCCCACGAGAAGAAAGTTTGCATATAATGATGCCAGACTAGGTGCGGAGGCTGCGGCGTATTCGTCGAGCGAGCCTGTCATGAGCAGGATGGCGTTCGAGGAGTGTTGCATCTTCGTGCGTAGTATGGGTTGGACTGTCGCTTGTTGGCGTTCTCGTGCCGATCAGCTCCCCTTGGACTCCCAAGCGATTTTGATCGTCTGTGTTTACGGATATGGTGCACATCGTGCAACTGTTCATCTTCGTTGGTCGGGCGATGATAATCATTGGAGGACTCGCGATCCACAACCCACCAAAGCGGCCGATGCGTGCCAGCCAAAGCATGCACCCAAGAAAAAATATTTGAAAGGGAGTGCCCCCGTCTTCGACCCTGGAGGGTCGTTCCGATCAAGGCGATGCGGCCTGTGAGGTGTGCTGAACTTTTCTGGGCGTGTTCATGTTATGCCCCCTTGTTATGCGTTATCGCAGACGCGAATTGGGTCTAGGGGCTGATCGTCTGTTTTTGCCGGCTCCCTCTTCCAGCTGCAATCGCTGGTCGACAATGGATATATCGAATGCTGCACCCCGTGCGCATGTAAGCGCTACATGGGCCATCCCATCCCCCGACTGCTTCCGATGCCGCCTCTGCCTCCGTCTCCGCCTCCTGCTCCTCCTGCTAGTCTCGGCGGGAGTTGAGCATGAGAGGGGATGGAGCTCCTAGCAACGGATGTTGCCTCCTTGCTCCCTGGGGGGGGGGGGGGGGCAGGCAAGGTTGCCGGGAGCACTCGTGGGAAGCCGGGAGGCACTGGCACGGGGGCCACTTTTGTTTGCTCGCGGCCCGGCCCCCACCCGCGCTCCGTCGGACCTTCTCTTCCACCGCCCCCTCTTCCCTCCTCCCCGGGCCCCTGCTCTGCCACTCCTGGACCAGGGTCGTGGAACCCAGGCCGGTCCGTGGTCCCTGCTCCCACCCTGCCACCCTGAGGAGGAGGAGGAGGAGGAGGCCTGAGGAGGAGGAGGGGGAGGAGGAGGAGGAGGAGGAGGAGGGGGAGGAGGAGGAGGACAGGAGGGGGAGGAGGAGGGGCAGGAGGAGGAGGCATCCTGTTTCATCGTGCTCCCCCCTTCTCCCTCGGTCTGGCCGTGTGCCACCCGCTCTCCCGCCCGTCCCTGCAGTCGACCTTGCTGGCAAGGACAGGACGCTTCGGCACGGCCGCTCGGGCATCCCCTGCCCCTTCGACCCGCCCGCCGTGCCCGACGCCGCTGCAGCTGCTCCAGCGCGGGGCGACCGAGGGCCATCCGCACCCTCGCCTTGTGATGTTCCGACCTATGTTAGCTTGGATCACCAGGAAGAGTTTCGAGCACCCAGAAGGTACCGAAACTCAAGGTTTTTCACGTGCCCGGGCCCTGGGAGGCGCTATTCGTTCGACATTGTTTCGATATTGTCCTGGGTGCTAGAGATTATTTTTGGGATGTGGTCCTCTGCACCGGGGCCACCCGCGGGGTCACGAAGATGGCTGGACCCCGCGCCGTGCTCCGCGCTTGGTGGCACTCCGCGGCACGCGCTGGCGCCTCGCGAAGATGGCGACCGCGCCCCCTGCGAGAGCGGCCCCTCTTCAGGGGGTGGCGCGACGGCGAGCATCTTGCATTTCGCGCGGCGCGCGGCTCGAAGTGCGCCGGTCCGCCCGGACCTCCGGCGGCTCGAGCTGTCTGTGCCGTGGGCCCCCCTCGGGCCCCCGCGGCCCCTCCCCCTGCGTCCCGTCTTTTCGCCATGACTCGGTGTCGAATGGTCCCGGAGGAGGAGGCGGAGGAGGAGGCAGAGGAGGAGGAGGGGGAGGAGGCAGAGGAAGAGGAGGAGGAGGAGGAGGAGGAGGACGAGGAGGAGGAGGAGGAGGAGGAGGAGAAGGACGAGGAGGAGGAGGAGGAGGACGACGAGGAGGAGGAGGACGACGAGGAGGAGGAGGAGGCCCAGAGTAGCGCGAAGCTCTTGCCGCCTCGCTTCTGCCGGGCCGCCAGACGTCTGGGCAACTGCGTCCGCGCTCCGATGCACTGCTGGTCGGCTGCGCGCCCCATGTGGCCAGGCGGATGCCGATCGCTCGGGGGCGGACCCCAGTGCACGGAGAACGGTGAACGCGCGTGCGCGCGTCCAGGAGGCGGAGAGCATGCGCACGAGGCTGACGCGGGAGCACGCGGAGACCAAGGCGCGGGGCCAGGTGGCCGCCCTGGGGCAGAAAGCTTGCCCTTATCCTTCAGGCCCCAGGCAATCCCAGAAAATCCAGGGTGTCTTCCTGCTGAGGTCACAGGATCTTGCGACCAATGGCGAACCCTACCCCTATGGATCCAAGTGACGCTGGGGTACCGGACACCCTTGCTGAGGTTCTTTCGGCCGCAGACATTTTTCGGATTCTGAACCCCAGTCGGCATTTCAGAGATCTGACCTGCAGCGGTAATGTTCACCTGTGAGCGACACAAAAACGAGGGCGTCTGCGCCAACATTGGATTGGTGCGGAAGTTGCCCGCGTAATTAAGGTCGCGCGTAAGCGTTCTCGCTTCAGATGTGTGGCGTGCCGCGCGGGCGGCCCGCGTGAGCCACCGCAGAAGGTTTTTATGTCATCTCGCGTAAGACCCGTGTTGGATCGTCGCTCATGCGGTTGCCTACCGATGGCAGGGGGCCCCTGCGGGGCGGCCCCTCCAGGCCAGGAGGCCGTCCAGCGACATGCCCGGCGGCGCGCAAGATCGGGGCAGGGCGAGAGGGGCGCACCTCTGCTACCAGCTCGAGAAGTCGCCCAGTGGCTAAGGGAGAGGAAGAAAGCAGCAGGGGAGGGAACTGCAAGGAGGAGCGGTGAGGGAGGAGTAGGAGAAGGAAAAGGAGAAGGAGGAGGAGAAGGAGGAGAAGGAGGAGGAGGAGGAGGAAGAGGATGAGGAGGAGGAGAAAAAAGAGGAGGAGGATTTGGGGGGAGGAGGAGGGGCAAGGGGGAGGAGGGGGAGGAGGGGAGGAGGGGGTGGAGGAGGAGGAGGAGGAGGAGGAGGAGGAGGAGGAGGAGGAGGAGGAGCAGGAGGAGGAGCAGGAGGAGGATCGGGAGGGGAGCAGGAGGAGCAGGAGGAGGAAGAGGTGGGGAGGAGGAGGGAGGAGGAGGAGGAGGAGGAGGAGGAGGAGGAGGAGCAGGAGCAGGAGGAGGAGGAGGAGGGGGCGGAGGTGGAGGCAGAGGCGGAGGGGGAGGAGGAGGGGGAGGGGGAGGAGGAGGAAGAGGAGGAGGAGGAGGAGGAGGAGGAGGAGGAGGAGGAGGAGGAAAGGAGGAGGATGAGGAGGAAGAAGAGCAGCAGGAGGGGCAGGAGGAGCAGGAGGAGCAGGAGGAGGAGGAGGAGGAGCAGGAGGAGGAGCAGGAAGAGGAGGAGGAGGAAGGAGGAGGAGGAGGGGGGGGCAGGAGGAGGAGGAGGAGGAGGCGGAAGAGGAGGGGGAGGAGGAGGAGGAGGAGGAGGAGGAGGAGGAGGAGGAGGAGGAGGAGGAGGTGGAGGAGGAGGAGGTGAGGAGGAGGAGGAGAGAGGAGGAGGAGGGAGGAGGTGGAGGAGGAGGAGGAGCAGGAGGGAGGAGGTGGAGGAGGTGGAGGAGGTGGAGGAGGAGGTGGACGAGGGAGGAGGAGGAGGAGGTGGAGGAGGAGGAGGAGGAGGCGGAGGAGGAAGAGGAGGTGGAGAGGAGGAGGAGGAGGAGGAGGAGGAGGCGGAGGAGGAGCAGGAGGAGGAGGAGGAGGAGGAGGAGGAGGAGGAGGAGGAACGAGGATCGGCGATCCAGGGTCCAGGATCAAGCATGGTCGAGGATCGAGAGGAGGAGGAGGAGGAGCAGCAGCTGCAGGAGCAGGAGGAGGGCCAGGAGGAGCATGATGGGGGGCAGGAGCCGCCCCCAAAAAGCTCGCGCCCACACCGCCCGCCACCCCCAAGAGCAGGAGCGGCTTGTGAGCGGACTGCCTCGATCTTCGAGCCGAGGCCCTTGCCTCCCCTCGAGGAAGAAGCATTTGCGGAGACGTACGTAGTCGGAGCTCCGCGCTAATTCCGTGGATCGTCGCTGGGCCCCCCTTGCGGCGCCTCGGGCGCCGCCCCTGGCGCGCAGAGGGGAGGTCAGCGCGGATCCAAGATTTCCGCGCGGACCTCCAAAAGTTTACGTTTATGCAAGTTGTTTAGCTCCTATACGTTTTGCTTCAGGTTCCTCCCTGGCATCGCCCATGTTGCCCATCAGCCTGGCCTGCTGCAGGCGCTTCGGCCCCGGACGTCCCACGTCACGACTGTGTCGTTACATGGGCCCCGGGAGTTTCGCACATGCGCCCATCCTGGCCAGGCCCATAGTGGGCCCAGGATCGGTGTGTGTGTGTGTGTGTTGTGTGCCGCCCTGGCCAAGCCAGGAGGGCGTATGCACCGATCCTGGCTTCTTTTGTCTTCCTCTGGCGCGCAGCGGGGATCACGCAGTGGCGAGAGCGGTCGCGGTCGTGCGGTCGCCCCTCTCGCTGCCCCCGCTCCGGGCAGGGCCTCTCAGACGCGCACGTTGTCGGCCTGCCGGGCTGCACGGACACGAACCGCAAGGCGGCCGCGTCGGCGGCGATCAAGCAGTGGCGAAGCGTCTTGGCCCGCCTATAGCCCTATCAAGCAATATTCCAAGAACCTTTTGTTGTTTCCACAAAATGTTCTTAGAACATTTCTGGCGGAGTCTGTCTTGTGTTATCACATCTGGAATATGTTTTAAGAACAGAGTTTTCGTGATTAGAACATTGTTGGTGGGTTCTAAGGACATTTCGTGGTAGGACTTAGGACTCCCGGGACGGTCGGTCACTGCTCAAGGCGAGGAGGATCGGGGAAACGTAAGACTCGAGTGCGCCAGAACTCGGGTTTGCCGACGGTTTTTGATTCGCTCGTCCTGGATCTTGACGGTCCAGGTTTCCTGGGATGCTTACAGCGGGATCTCGCGTCAACTGTCAGACTCGGTCTCGTTATGTTCATGATGACCCCGTCCGGGTCCCCCCGAACGTGAGTCTTACGTCCTCCCGAGAAGAGGCGGCAGAAGAGGCCCAGACAATACGGCTCTTAAGTCGGGCCTGTCCTTCTACAGGAGGGATATTCAAACATAGTCAAATAATAGATTGGCGACGATTTCCAGCCTGTTTTTTAATATTTGTGATTACTTTTTGGCTAGTCTGAAGTTTTTGCCCCAAATCCCCCTGTAGGGGGGACAGGCCCGTCCTAATACTGCTCGTCACGAGCAGGGTCGACTCGAGCAGCGCTCCGCCTCCGAGGGCCCGCTCTGGGCACGCGGGGGGTCGAGAGCGCCAGGCTGGCCCGCGTCACGAGAAACATGTGATGACACAGGCTTGTGGGGAGGGGGGGCCCTCCTCCTCCTCCTCCTCCTCCTCCTCCTCCTCCTCCTCCTCCTCCTCCTCCTCCTCCTCCCCCTCACCCTTCTCCTCCTCCTCCTCCTCCTCCCCCTCCTCCCGGGGCCCCGAAGGTGTACGAGAGGTGTCCTTTTCGTCACGACTTCGCCTGCGATGGTCTTGGTTTGACGACGTCTGCCCCCCCCAGGGGAGGGAGGGGCATCACCGCCGCCTGGAGGCTCGATCTTCGGGGCCCTCGGCGGGCGGTGGATGCGGGTATAATTTGGCGGGGGCTCCGGGCCCAAATATATCCATCTCCACCGGCCCCCACGGTCCCAGGACACCGGCTCCCCTTGTTGGTGGGCAGAACTCTCCGCCTCGCACTCATACCTCCACCCCTCTACCCCCAAAATATCAACGACGATGTCAGCGCGAATAGCGACCTTGGGGTACGACACCTTCGTCCACTCGGGCTTCCCTCGTCGCCACGCCGCCATCACTGAAATGGAGGGTCATCGGTTGGGCATCTTGCACCGCAGGGTGCAACTTCAATGTCGATAGACGGGAGAGCTACGTGGCTGACAAGTTGATAAGGGGGAAGCAAACAGACAGAGAGAGAGAGAGAAACAAGTAGAAACACAACAGACGGGATACATCAGTTACACCAGACAAAAGCCCAAATCAGTGGATGTTTTGAATTTTTCGCAGGTGCCTCGATCGGCCTTCCTCCCGCCCGAGTCTAGTTCGAATGTACGTTGTTGTCCAGTCTAGGTATGGTAGGGTCCTCTCTCTCGCTCTCTCTCTCTCTCTTTCTCTCTCTCTCTCTCTCTTTCTCCCCCCCTCTCTCTCGCTCTCTCTCTCTCTCTCTCTCTCTTTCCCGTGGTGTCCCGTGGCGCGGGGGTCCCCCGTGGTAAGGGGTAAGGATGGGCAACCTTCCCAAGGGTACCCTTGCATCCTTGCCTCCTCGGTCCACCCTTGGTCACTTTCGTTGGCCGCGCCCCGCTCGGGAGCTTCGAAATGGCCTTCCAAGCCCTTGCGTCCCTATCGGGCGTCCTTGTCATACGGGTTGACTGTATGCTATGCTGTGTTATGCTAGCTAGCGATAGTGAGGTCGATAGTGAGGCCGCTAGTGATATCGATTTCTAGATCCGTTCCGTAAGATCGAAAGAGAGATTGACCGTGAGATCGATACTGAGATCGATAATGATATTGGCAGTGAGGTCAATTACATCAGATCTATGATGGGACCGATAGCAGGATCGATATTGAGATCGATAGTGCGATCGTTTGTGAAATCTATAGTCAGATCGATTGAGTGAGATCGATCTGATATCGATCGTTCGATTGTGTTCGATAGTGAAATCGAAGGTGAGATCGATTAAGTGACATGGATAGTGAGATCGATCGTGTGATCGATTGTGAGATCGATGGGGATATCAATAGTGACATCGATAGCGGGATCAAATGAATGAGATCGATAGTGAGATCGGAGGTTAGATCGATCGTGAAATTGATAATGACATCGAAAGCGGTTTTCGATCGTGAGACCGGTAGTGTGATCGATCATGCGATCGATAGTGAGATCGATATTGACGTCGAGCGTGAGATCGATAGTGACATCGATCGTGACATCGATGGTGAGACCGATCGTGAGAGCGATTGTAAGATCGATCCTGAGATCGATAGTGAGATCGATCGTGAGATTGATAGTGAGTTCGATCGGGGAACTAATTGTGATATCGATCGCGAGATCGACTGAGTGATATGGGTAGTGAGATCGACAGTGAGATCGGTTGAGTGAGATCGATAGTGAGATCGATAATGGAATGCGATCGACCAGGAACCCAGGAAGCAGAAACTTGAACCCTGGAACCCCGCCGCCCACCGAAGTCCGCCCGGAACCAGCAACTGGGAACCTGGGAGCGCAGAACTGGGCATCCGGGAACCCGGCCGCTGAACGAAATCGTTTGGGAATATTGCCAAATCTTGCAATTTCCGCTAGGACACTTTCAGTGCAAGCATTGCTTGGGGAATATCGAGAGCGATCTCTCGCTGTATGTGTATATTTATATATTGTACAGAGTTGGTGGCTTATGATGAGGATAAGATGGGAAGAGGTTCAGAAGTGGCGATCGGAGAATGTGGGCGGGGGTGAGAATGGGAGAAGGAGGGAGGTGCAGCCGGAGAAAGCGAGGAGAAAGGAAGGGAGGGGGAGAGGAAGAGGGGAAATGGGCCTGGTCGGGGGAGGAGTGTACTGGAGGACAATGACGAAGTGGAGGACGACAAGATGGGGAGAGGGGAGAGGGGGAGGGGGAGGTGTCGAGAGCTCGATGCCCAGGAGGAGGAGGCGGAGGAGGAGGGCCAGGAAGGGGAGGAGGAGCGGACTGGAGCAAGCGGAGGAGCAGGTGCTACTGTTAAGTCGGGCCTGTCCCTCTACAGGAGGAACAATAGTACTGGGACGTTTTTGTACACGCATTTTTATGTATTGCTTGCACATGTTTGGGGTATTTGTTATTTTTCGTCCCAAAATCCCCCCGTAGGGGGACATGCCCGACCTGACGCTGTTGCATGCTGCCCGCGATGGGCGGCCGGGCGCAGGAGCTCGCGAGCATCAACGAGCAGATGGCCATCTTCACCCAGGCGAAGGCGAAGGCCCAGGAGCTGCTCGCGGAGGCGACGTCGTCGATCCAGACGCTCCGGGTCGAGACGCAGGAGTGCCGAGCGATCCATGGTTTCGCCGCGCTTCTGGGGCGAGGCAGCCTTGTGCAGCCCGCCTGCTGCAGGTCTGTTTGCTGGCTGTTCACGAGTCGGCACTGGCGTGGCGCTGCAGGCGAGATACAGGCATGGCCGCGCTTAGAGTGCCTGGTGCATCCCTCGTGGCATCATTCGCAGACAGGCGCGCCCACGCCCAGTAGAGCTCGTGCTCGGAAAAGGTTTCCTGGTGTCAGGAGCTGACAACTAGCGCCAGCACCTATGCGACCCCTGGATTCGTCTTGGAGGAATCCTGTGGGGATCATCGGTGTGTGATGTCGGATGTGCCCCCCGCTCGAACAGGAGCTCCCCGCGGGGTCCGACAAGCCGCACCCATCCTATAATTTTTCGCCTTGATCTCCTTGCCCTTTCCCATTCCTTCCTCCTCTAGGTTTGAGCGTGCACTGTTCTTCCATCATGATAGGAGGGGTACGGAGTGAGGTGGGAGGAGGGCAGGTGCAGGAGGGCAGGAGGGAGGGCGCAGAGACGGCGGCAGCCTTTCGCTCAGCAACTTCTGTCTGTTGCGCTCGGGTCACGCCGAGCGCAGTTCCAAGAAGTTCCTGCGCGTGCGTCTGGGATCGGGGGGGCGCTGGGCATGTTGTTCCGAGCGCTCTCTTTGTCTCTCTCTCGCTGTCCCTCACTCACTCTCTCTCTCTCTCTCTTTCTCTGTGTCCCTCACTCACTTTCTCTATATATCTGTCTCTCTCTCTCTCTCTCTCCCTCTCTCTCTCGCGGGTGCTTTTGAAGCACTGTGCATTGTTTTGCGTGGGGCCGCAGGTAAAGCGACGTTGAGTTTCGCTATGCTTGGCTGGGCCGTGGTTGCACTCCCTCGGTGCATGGCCGTACCAGTTGTGGCGTCTGCAGGTTCGAAGCGATTCGAGTGACCATGCAGCGCGTATTTGCACTTCTGATGACTGCCCCGCGATTGGCTCCGCGCGTGCTGCTCCCAGACATGCCCGAGGCATCGAGCTAAGCGCGCGCCAGTGCGTCGCAGGAGAAGGAGGTGGAGAGCAGAGACCTGCAGTGCGATTACGAAACGAAGGTGCACCAGTGCAAGACGAGGCCCGCCCTCCGCGTGCTCCTCTCCGGACGCGAGCGCGAGAGGTCTTCTTGGATCGGGGCTGTCGTGCTCGCACAAGCGTTCCAACACGCGGGGTTTGCGCCGCTGGTGGACCGCGCGGGGGCAGCCCCCTTCTCCCGGTCCGCCAATCTCGGAGCACCCCCACCCTCCTCCCCCACTGGCGCCAATACGGTTGGTTCGGGAGTTTTCAGTCTTCCCTCCCTTCTTTGGGGAACAGGGCTACACACCAAACCTGAGTACTAAACCCGAACCCTTCAACCAAACCCTGGTCCGAAATCCTGAGGCAAGTAGTTTTATGCAGGGCGACGCCCAGATGATGTACGTCATCGGTAGTTTGCGGCTAACACATTTGTGGCTTTCTGACAGCATTCTCGTGACATCAGCAAATCTCTTACGTATACAGACCATGATCAGTGTTCAGGACCTGCGCATAGAGACCACAGACTTAGGGTTGCAACTCCATCCAGACAAGAACAGATCCTATGTACATTGGTTGACCTCGTTCACGGCACCGAGTTTTCGTTTGCGCAGTGAAGATCGAGTTTTTACGAGGGTATGTGTCAGCAGAGCTGATTAGCAGGAATATAATTGAGGTAAAGTGGAGGATAAGATCATGGCTCGATGAGAGCACTAAGCGTATTGAAGGAAGAGTTCGTGTCTAGATGACGCTCCGTAGCCCCTCCTGAACAGAGACATGGTTGGATTTTGCTGACACTTCTCAAGGAGGCGAAGCTTGGGCCCCCACGATTGGGATTGTGGGACGGCTTCGGCGCAATCGAGCGCAGGTGTTCAACATAGAAGTCCGCGTGCCGTGGCGGCACGTTGAGGATCTGCCACAAAGGGAGATATCTGCCAGTGAGTGGGGCACCTCGGGGGACCCTTTCAAACACACCGCATGTTCTCCAGTTCCCCCTTTCCATCCTTCATAAGCATCATCATCAGCATCCTCATCAGCATCAGCATCATCAGCATCATCATCGTCGTCATCGTCATCATCGTCATCGTCATCATCACCATCATCAGCAGCAGCAGCACAACCATTATCACCATCACACTCAGGAAGCGAGGTTTGATCCATGTCACTTGCCCCACATTGCCCTGGCTCGGACGGACCTATGAGTGAATGCGCTGAGATTGAACCATTGGCCGATGCGTCTCCCTGCGCTCCTGTGCCGAACATACATGGGCGAGTAGGGGCGCAGTCGCAGCTGATTGGGCTAAAGAAGTATAGCGGCATCGCTGGAAATGTGCACCTCGTATCGCAGCAGTCTCTGCGACCAAGTGGGTGAGTCATACATGTTGTGCCCAGAAAGAAGTACTCCCTGACCTCGCGCATCGATTGCGGAAGGCTAAGAACAGATGTGCAGACTATGCTGCGGCACTTCCCTTGCCAACTTCCCATTTTGCCAGGCCCTCGCAGCTCTTCGGTGCCAATCTGCTGGGCCTTCGCTGTTCTCCCTGGCAGGTCCGATCCGACCCACCACCACCCCATGGCCAGAGCCACCCTGGGACTCGGCATGCGCCCCAGCGAGGCCGCAGGAGAGGGAGGCGCGCCGGAGGGCGAGCTCGGTGCCCTGCCAGTTCTCCGTCGGGTGCCTGCGCACTGCTCCGCCCAGCCGGGAGTCCCGCCACAGGGCTCGAGTTCCCGATAGCATTCCCTGCCGCGGCAGCCCCCGCGTTGCAGGGTGCAGGACATCCTGTACACGGACATGTGCGCGGTCCGGGTCGTCCGCGACGCCGTCATGAGCCGCAGCGAGGTGTCGCCGCCCGCCGCGATAGGCGAGCAGTCGCCCAGCCGCGGTCGGCGGGACCGCCGCCGGCGCCGCCGCCACGACGCACCGAGGGGGCCGGGTCGGCCTCAGGACGGCCCTCGAGGCAGCCCAGGCGGGTCCTGTCCAAGGAGGGGGGTCAGTGCGAGGAATACCAGGAGAAGGAGGAGGAGGTATACCTGGAAGAAGAGCTTAGGGGCTGGAGAAGGAGATCAAGGAGTTGAAGCAGAGGAACAAGGGGGGTGCTGGAGGACATCGAAGAGCAGAAGCGGACAGTGGCAGCAGCTACGCACAGAGGCAGGAGGAGGAGGAGGAGGTGTACAGTCCCATGGGGGGGGTCGGGGATCGCTCGCCCTCCTCGCCGTCATCATCCTACCTCACTTCCTGATCTCCTTTTAGGCCTCTCGTTCCTACTCGTCACCCTCCTCCCCTTAGTTATTCCTTTCCATCCTCCGCCTCCCTTCTCCTCATCCATGATCCTCCTCTCTTCCGTGCTGAGGTCAGAAAGAGCGTGTTTCGCGGTCGCTTGGGAGGTAGGGCGGGTAGGCCCCCCCCGGGGGGGGGGAAGGTGAGACAACATCTGGCCCGTGCAGGGAGGTGGGGCGCTAGAAACCAGGGAACAACCCCAGGGACTTCGCGCTTGGGAGGGGCAACGGAGCTCCCGCACCATTCGCGCCGGAGAACGACGACGATGACAGACAACGAACGACGACGATGACGGCGATGGCGACGACGACGACGACGACGTCAAAGACGACGACGACGACAATCGACGATCGACGATTGACGACGACGACGATGACAGACAACGAACGACGACGACGACGATGGCGACGACGACGACGACAATCGACGATCGACTATTGACGACGACGACGACGACGACGACGACGACGACGACGACGGCTGTGGCGGCGGCGGCGGCGGCGGTGGTGGTGGCGGCGGCGGCGGCTGCGGCGGCGACGGCGACGACGACGACAACCGACGACGACCGACGACACCGACGACGGCGACGACGACGTCGACTATTGTCACGACGATTGTCACGACGACGACGACGACAGCGACGATCGACGATCGACGATCGACCGCGCCATGACGACGACGACGACGACGACGACGACGACGACGACGACGACGACGACGACGACGACGACGACGACGGAGGCGGCGGCTGCGTCGGCGACGACGTCGTCACGACGACCGACGACGACCGACGACGACAGACGTTGTCGACGATGACGTCGATGACAGTTGCCGTGACAGACTACTGTCACGGCAATTGTCACGACTTCGACGGCGACGACGACGACGACGACCCCACTCGACCCGCTTGAATGCCCCGCCCGCCCCTCAGCTTGAATGTCCTCCCCCACCGACTTTCCTGCCTCAAAGTCTCGACCAACCTGCCCGCCGGACCTGCCCGCGGGCTTTAGTTCATCTCCAGCGTCGTCGTCGTCGTCGTCGCTCTCCTCGTCATCGGCGTCGACGCCTGCGTCGTCGTTGTCGTTTGTCGGCGCGAGGGGGGGAGAGGGGTTCTAGAACCCTCCGTCCCTTGCACCAGGGGGTTCGGGGGGCGCTATGTGTTTTTTTCCCATTTGGGATCTGGGGTGGGAGAGGGAGGGATTGCGAATCCAATATTTTGCTTTTACTGAGCGTTCTATGCCAGCGCTGGTGAAACGCCTTCCTTCTGAGGTCGGCCTGATTGTGTTGAACGCATGCAAGTGTGGATCTGGCATCGGGGTCATCCGTGGTCCCCGCCAGCAGTGGGGGAGCAGGCATGGAGGAGGAAGACGACGAGAAGTAGGGCGAGGGCAGCGGGGATGAAGAAGCAAATGGAGGACAAGGACATGGATAGTGGACGGAGGCAGAGTTAGAGGAGACAGAGAAGGACGCAGAAGAGGAGGAGGAGGAGGAGGAGGAGGAGGGGGAATAGAGGATCAGGAGGACGAGGAAAATTAGGATGGTCGAGGAGGATTCAACGAAAAGACGAAGGAGGTGGAGGAACAAGAGGAAGAGGAGGAGGAGGAGGAGGAGGAGGAGGAGGAGGAGGAAGAGGGGGAGTTGTTGCAGCTTCTGATTATGTCTGGGGGGATGGAGGAATTGGAGATGTAGAGTGGGGAGGGAGGGAGGAGAAAGGCGAGGACAAGGACGAAGAGGACGATGAGCTGAAGTGGCAGGGAGGTCAGGAGGAGGAGAAGGAGGAGGAGGAGGGAGGAGGGAGGGAGGGAGGGAGGGCGGGAGGGCGGGCGGCGGGCGGGCGGGCGGGCGGGCGGGCGGGAGGGAGGGAGTGGGGAGGAGGAGGAGGAGGAGGAGAGGAGGAGGAGGAGGAGGAGAGGACGAGGAGGACGAGGAGGAGGAGAAGGAGGAGGAGGAGAAGGAGGAGGAGGAGGAAGGAGGATGCTTCCCCCCTCACTCCTCTCCTCTCCTCGGCCGCCGCGTGGGCCAGGCGCCCCTCGAGCGCGCGCGCGCCGCCGCGGCAGCCTCGCGCGCGCGCGCCGCCGCAGGGCGGCCTCTTTCCTCCTTCCCTCCTCTCCCCTCCCCTTCCCTCCATCCCCCTCCCCTCCCCCCCCCCCCCCCACTCGTCTCCCTCCCGTCTGTCCCCCTGCATTCCCCTTTCCCCACATCCCCCCCTCCTCTCCGCCCCTCCCCCCTTCCTCCCTCCTTCCCTCCTCCCTCGTCGTCGTCCCCCGTCCTTCTATCCCTCCCTCCTCCTCGCCTCCTGCGTCTGTGTGTGCGATTTCCGAGGAGCAGGCCCGGACTATGACGAGGCAACCCTACGCGTGAGCCTCTTGCCCGCTTGCTCGCTGCGCGGAGTGACGTCAGTGTATTCTGCCAGCGCGAGCGTCCTGAGAAGACCGCTGGCGTTGAGCCGCGAGTAGGCTAGAAGACTCCAGCGGGGAGAGAGGGAGAGAGGGAGAGAGAGAGAGAGAGAACAACAAAGGGGAAACAGGGAGAGCACTCAGACCGCCATGGCCATCGGCAGGGCCATGGTTGACGCCGCGCCCAAGAGGTGCGCCGACCTACGTACCCATTGCTCTGTGCCCATGTCATTTTGGACTGGTACGAGAGAGAGAGAGAGAGAGATGGAAAGAAAACAAAACAAACAAACAAACAAACAACAAAAAACATACAAAAGAAAGAGAGAAAGTGAGAGAGTACGGTTACGTGAGAGCGACCGCCTACGCGAATTTCAAGCGGCGATTTTCAAGTGTAACCTGCCTGTGCCACCGTTCATTCTGGCGCCAAGGCAGTGCCCGAGGGTTCCGGCCCTCACCATGTAAGCCACATGCAGTTGTTCAACAGCAAACTCAGGCGTTGGAGCCCCGAGTTTGCCCGGGCCCCAGAGCTGCTGCTCCACCTCCGCCGCTGGATGATTTGGGGCAGTTCGGCTTGGGAAGGGGTAAGGTTGTGGATGGCTCGTTCGTGCAATTATTGTGCCACCACAGCCATCTTCTCGACTCGTTGCCGGGCGTGCTCCTGGGGCGCGCGGTGTCCACAGCGCTGATGTGCTACAGAGCCTAAAACCCGATTTGCAGTCCCCGTCCAAAAGCGCGGAGGAAGCGCTTTCACGGCTTAGTAGTGGACTCCCGCCATGAAGTCGGGAGGGCGCTTCCGTGAGATCCGACTCCTCGCCCAGCAGTTGGCCACCGCGCACAGACGCAGATGTGATAGAATCGTGCTCTTCTTTTCGTTTTTCCGAACTGCTCGCTGGGTTATACATCGCGAGTCCGAAGTTTCTCACATGTTGAGCCTGGTGACCCCGTGTAATTCCTTATTCCTCTCATCTCGCATCCACTGCAGGGCGCAAGCGCCACGATGGCAGCAGCACTTCGCGCAAGAAGGATGGCAGCAACACTTCGTGCAAGAATCGGGGGAACGTAAGACCCGGGTTTGCCGGGACTCGGGTTCGCCATCGTTTTTTGACGACCGCGCCTCGGATTTTGACGAGGAGGAGTTTCGTGGGATGTCTGCAGCGGGAGGCCTCGTCAAAATGCAGGCTCGGCCTCGTCATTTTTTTGACGACCTCGTCGGGGATTTCCGAGTCCCCCGTACCCGGGTCTTACGTCTCCCCGAAAGAAGACGAACCGAGGCGAGGGCATCGATCACAAAAGTAGTGGAGACCAGCGCTAGCGCATTTTCCATGGCAGCCATGAGATACGGAACGACTATTACACCATCGCGGAATGACCAACATAGGAAGATAATCAGCCGGCCGAGGAAATGCGCAAGGTGCGTCGGGATGACATCCCCGAACGCAGACATACCCACGTGGCGCGTGCCGCACGCTGCAGGTTAGCCCCATTCGAGTTCATCATGGCAAGGTAGGTCACCAACCACATAATGGCAAATTCTCGGCGGGGCTGGACATGCGCAACCCGCTTGGCTCTATCATCGGATCCCCGTTCGCGGCGTTGGTGGGGGTGGAGAGGTTTGCTTCGCGTCGCGGGCCGCTCGGGCGGGAGATTCCTAATTATTCCGTTCGACCGAGAAGTCAAATGATATGTTGTTCGTCAGTTCTTCAGCGGGCAAGGAATAGTTTGTAGTGAGCGCGAGCCTCCGTGCTAGCGCCAAGCCCGGCTTTTTCGACCGCAGGCTTGTAGCACGAAAGCGCGATCGTTCTTGCCGCATGGTTATCCGCAGGGCGCGACTGCAGAGGCCGCGCCGAGAATGCCAGCCAGCTCTTGCCCCCCCCCCCCCCGAAGGGCAGAGGCCGAACGCTGGGTCGGGGGCGGGGCGGGGCGGGGGACGAGCTCTGGGCGTGCGGGGGTCGGGCAGGGGGCGTCCGCATATCGAACACCTCCTGCGCGGTGCGCGCCTCGCGTGGCGCCAACCGGCCGGCGCAAGTCGATCGATGGGCCTCTAGCCGCTTCGGAGCGACATCGAAGGTAGCTCTTCAGAGCGTAGTCCACCTTGTTCAGTCGCACTCACTGCGTGTATGTCAGCTGGCGCAGGAACCCATCCTCCATCCTCCTGCCCCTCCCCTTCCCCCGCCCCCCGTCGGCCCTCATCCCGGGAGGGTCGCTGTGCTCAAAGTGCGAGCCAGGAGGCTATGGGATTTTCCCTGGCGACCCTTCGGGGCATGCGGCGTCGCAGCCGGCGGAGGCGGGAGCATGCCCCGCCGTTCGTGGGCGCGCGGCCGGTGGCCAGGGGCGACGGCCATTCGGCGCTGCAGGCGACATTCGTTGACGCAGCCGCGCGCGGAGCACGTCGAGGACCCGGCGGGCCTCCAGAGCAAGACCGGGCGCGCAGCGGGGCGGCGCGGCGAAGCCTAGAGCGCGGCACGCGTGTTTCTGCATGGTTCGGGGCCGCGATGGGGCGCCCACGGGCTGGCACGCAGACGACGTCGGGCAGGGGCAGGTGCTGCCCGTTCAGAGCCAACTCGCAAGGCTCGTTGTGGGGGAAGCGGGTCCCGAGGGAAACGCGTCCTGAGATTTGTTCGCTGCTTTCGGGCCCTCGGGGCTCTCTCCACGGGCCCCGGGACTGTGAGGCAACGACTCCAGATGGAGGTCTCGTCCCGGGGGGAGGCCCCCAAAGGGTCCAGGACCCGTTCCCCTCGGACCCCGTTTCCCCCTATGCGAGAAGGCGATTCGGGGCGTGGGCCTGCGGCCCCGCCGACGAGGGATGCATGGTCGCGGTCGCACTGACGGGCAAGACCGTGCATCTGGCGTGCAGGGTGCAGGGACGTGCGGCTGGATGCCTTGGTGGGAAGGCGTCCTGCGAACCGCGCCGCCGCTGCCAGCGTCGGCGCGCCCTGGGGGAGAGCTCCGACCAGAGGCAGGTTGCAGAGGTAGCTCTGGGCCGGCTTCAAGATTGAGGCTGGCGCGGTTGGCGAACAATGCGATCACGATGGAGACGAAATGCCGGCGGACCCCGCGCAGAATGTTGCATGCCCGAGCACAGGGCGACGGATGCAACAGCATTGGCAGCACAGAAGGTGCCCCGAAGCACGAACAGATGGATGAGAGCGACGTTCGCGACACCACCGTTACAGCTACGGGCCCTCGCTGGCAGACTTCACGGGCGCGCGCGTGGCCACTCTGGCTTGCAGGCGATGCGGAGGTAGAGGCAGACAAAAAGATAACGCAAATCGCTGGCCGAACGCAGATTCAATTGAGGGGGGAATTCCGCCCCAGAAGTCGGTGACGGAGGGGGCCTCTGACACCTGCGTCACCGAGATGTCAAGGTCCAGAACGCCCAGGGCCAGGGGCAGGTCCGTGATCTCGAGGAGGTCAAGGATGATCTGTAGGGCGCCTTGGAAGTCCGCTCGGAGTTCTACGGGGATGACGGTTCTTTGGCGCTGGCGTGGACAACGCCGAAAGCCCACCCGCTGGCCAGGGCAAAAGCAAAAAGGTCCAGACTTTTTCCGGAAAAGTCACGAATTAGCGGTTAGCAGCCTCCGCAGGAGCCAGCAGCAACGGTCTCGAGCGAGGGATGCGGCATGAATTCAAATGTTGATGGTTTTGAGCGGTTGGCCGCGCACGCGACCGACTCGGACTACAACGTCTGGGTTGAGGCGGCCCCGGCGTTGGGTAATCATGGCAGCCACGCTCGTCGGCGAGACGCTCAATCTGAATCTCGAGGAGCGGGCCAGGATGCTGCTAGCCGAGCCTGGCTTTTGCGTGAACCCTCGTGCGCGTGCGCCTGCGTGCAAGCGCGGCGCGCGCCATCGTAGCGCCCTGTTCCCTTTCCAGGCCCAGCACTGTTCCTCAGGGGCATGGGTAGGAGTGGGAGGAGGGGGATGATGACGATGATGATGAGGATGAGGAGAGGATGAGGATGAGGATGCTGCTGATGCTGATGATGGTCTTTTGCTGCTGATGATGATGCTGATGCTGATGCTGATGATGATGATGATGCTGATGATGATGATGATGATGATGATGATGATGATGATGATGATGGTGATGGTGATGGTGATGGTGATGGTGATGGTGATGGTGATGGTGATGGTGATGGTGATGGTGATGGTGATGTTGATGGTGATGGTGATGTTGATGGTGATGGTGATGATGGCGATGCTGATGACGATGACGATGATGATCATGGCCATGATCATGATGACAACGACGACGACGACGATGACGATGACGATGACGATGACGATGACGATGACGATGAATATGATGACGACGAGGAGGAGGAAGAGGAGGAACCTCCCCATCTCCTTCCCCCCTTCCTAATTACCTATTGTAGGAGCTGTGGGGCAGTGGCCCAACAGCTCTTGCTCCTTGGCCATGCGGGAACGGGGCCCTGAAGCAAACGGATCCTACTCCCTGTTGCTCCCTCGCCCGGGCGAACTCTCCCTTCATGCCGAGTCGTGTTCACGGTCTTGCAGTTTCGGGGAGCAGAAAGCCGTGACAAACACTCCAGGGCCGCTCTCCTCCAGGCTTCGTCCTCTTCCTGCTGATCCCTCTCCCCCTCCTCCGCCTCCGGCCGGCTCGGGCGCGGGTGCCATGGCGGGCAAGAGGAAACGCCACAAGAAGAAGCCGGACCTCGCGAAGGCCGGGCGGCGGAAATGGCACGTGCGCGCGAGTGCGGAGCGGGAGCCTCGAGGGAATCCAGGGAGTGGGGACGGGAGGGGCGTTGGGAGGAAGCGGGGGGAGGGGGAGGAGGAGGAGGACGAGGACCGCCGCCCTGTCGCCAGCACCTGGGTGGACCGTCGCTTTTTGCAATGGTGAGAGAATACTCTTGAAGGGCATGCGCCTTTTTTGTGGCAGCCCCGGCGAGACCTGGTGCCAGGACCGCGGATCAGTTGCAGCAGGACGGGAGGGAGCAATGGAGGGACTGCGAGTTGCTGCGCTACAACAGAGCCTCGTGGAGCGCGCGGGCAGGGGAGGAGGGGGGGGGCATGGACGCCACATTGCCTCGGAGGGGCGGAGCGAACCGCGTGCCCAGCTGTGCTCGCACGTCTGTTGCTGATCTGAAGTGGGTATTGCATGGATGGGTGGAGGAAGAGGAGGGGCAGGGACAGAGGGACGGGGGGATGGGGCGGAGAAGGGAGGAGGAGGAGGAGGAGGAGGAGGAGGAGGAGGAGGACGACGACGAGGACGGGGACGAGGACGAGGACGAGGACGAGGACGAAGACGAGGATGAGGACTAGGACGAAGACGAGGACGAGGGCGAGGAGGGGAAGGACGAGGACGAGGAGGAGGACGACGAGGAGGACGTGGACGACGAAGGCGAAGAGGATGACGAGGAGAACGAGGACGACGAGGACGAGGACGAGCATGAGGACGAGGACGAGGAGGACACTGGATCTTTCTGCCGTCAATCCACAGGCCACAGGAGGAGGAGGAGGAGGAGGAGGAGAATGAGGGGGAGGAGGAGAATGAGGGGGAGGAGGAGAAGGAGGAGGAGGAGGAGGAGGAGAAGGAGGAGGAGGAGGAGGAGGAGGAGGGGGGAGGAGAAGGAGGAGGAGGAGGAGGAGGAGGAGGAGGAGGAGCAGCAGGAGGACGACGAGGAGGGAGAGCAGGAGGAGGAGAAAGTGGTGGGGTGGGGAGGGGGCAGGCCAGGGGCGAGAGGCCCAGCCCCATCCCTGCCTCCTCCTTCCTCCATCGTGCAGCAGATGGAGCAGGCCAGCGCGGAGCAGCAAGAGCAGCTTGGGACGGGGGCACGACGACAGCAATTCGAAGAAGAAAAAACACCATACACATGAATGTTTGGCATTTTTTTCTTGTAGCAATGTCCCCTGTTGTGGTGCAGAAGACGCTCCTCGGGTTGGGTGTGGTGTCGCCGGCTCCGCCGATTTCTCAAGACAGCTCCAGTCCCAGCCCAGAGATGCACCGTGGACCCGATCGGCAGTGGTCGCTTTCCGTATCTCCAGTAGTTGATGTTCGATGTGGTTCGACACGGTTTGGCAGCAAAGCCGATGGGGAAGAGGTGGCGGCGCCTGACACAGTTTGGTGGCAGAAGAGGGGCGTTTGGAGCTATCGGAAGAGCTGACGGTGCTGCTGCGGGAGGGGTTGCGGCAGAGTCTTGCTATCACCATGCCCCCAATCCCCACTTGCCCCTGAGGGGGAAGAGGAGTGCTGAGTTTTATGTGCTGTTTGGGTTTCCGGGGGAGGGGGGGGGGCTAGAATTTGCTCTAAGACAGGTCTGCGAACCCTTCACACACGTTTCGCGGCACCACCAGGAGCTCCACAGAAGGTCCTTGTGAGAGTGCCCGCATGCGGTTCCATTTCCATTTCGGTGCACGCCTCACTCGCTTCATGAATGACCCCGTAGGAAGCTTCACTGGAGGCCCCACTGGCGGCGCCCTCATGGTGTTCCACCTTCCATGCCGGCGGCCCCCTCACACGCCCCGTGGCCCGATAGGGTTATGCCATAGGGAGCTCCACTGAAGGCTCCAGTGTGGCGGCGCCCGCATGCGGTCCCACCCGCCTGTCGGGCACACCTCTCACACGTTTCATGGCTCCATATGGAGCTCCACCGAAGGCCCTGATGGCCCCTGTTGCTGGCCCCCCTTCCTTTATCCCCATCCCTCCTGTGCTGGGTACTCGTTTTGAAGAGAGCAGTGTGGTCTCCACCTCCTCTCCTCCTCCCCTCTCCTCCCCTCCTCCTTCTCTCCTGTTTCCTGTGTTCCCCCCTCCTCTTCTCTCGTGCCGTCGGGCTGCGATCTGCGCAACTGTCGCCACTTTTGTGTGGGCTCCTGGGAAGCCCAGCGGAGGTACGTCATACGCGGATCACCACGGGAACTCGCCGCCCCTGGGGGGCTTGCGATCTGCGCAACTGTTGCCACTTTTGTGTGGGCTCCTGCGAGGCCCAGCGGAGCTACGTCCCACGCGGATCACCTCGGGACCTCGCTGGCCTCTGGGGGGCTTGCGATTTGCGCAATTGTCGCCACTTTCGTGGGCTCATGGGAGGCCCAGCGGAGGTGGGTCCCACGCGGATCACCTCGGGACCTCGCCGCCCCCTGGAGGGCTTGCGATCTGCGCAATTGTCGCCACTTTCGTGGGCTCCTGCGAGGCCCAGCGAAGGTGGGTCCCACGCGGACCTCCTCGGGACTTCGCCGCCCCCTGGCGGGCTTGCGATCTGCGCAACTGTCACCATTTTCGTGGGCTCCTGGGAGGCCCAGCGGAGGTGGGTCCCACGCGGATCACCTCGGGACCTCGCCGTCTAGGGGGCTTGCGATCTGCGCAATTGTCGCCACTTTCGTGGGCTCCTGGGCGGCCCAGCGGAGCTACGTCCCACGCGGATCACCCCGGGACCTCGCCGCCCCCTGGGGGGCCCTTTTTTTCATGTTTCTGAGCGTTTTTGGGGTATCTTTTTGATTGCTAGTTTTTCGTCTAAACTCTGCCTGTAGGGGGACACGCCCGACCCCAAGATGGCGCGTAGAACAGGGGACACCTTGGGTCAGGACCACCTCTGGCAACATCCGACTCCTGCATCCGGACCGGCTCCCCTCACGGCAGGGAGGCCAAAATCACGCTGGCCAAGAAGCGCGGCAAGACGATCTTGCAGCACGAGGTTGAGTCTGGCAAGACGCTCGAGGACGCCCGGCGGGTTCCTGGTTACTGCTCGTTGGATTCTCAAGCGTGTCCAATTATGGATTGTGAGTTTTGTGTTTCGGATGGCGGCAGGGACGATCGCGTTTAACAACATCTCACACATTGCCGCGGTCATGCCAGATCCACAAATCCCAACGACTTGGAGCCAGCATTGTGCCGAAATGGAAGATACCATTTGTAAGTATCGTTATGTCGCGGCCTCAGCGTTTTCGCTTCGCGTGCCAGGGCGTCTGAGTCATGATGTCAGTAATCCCGTCCACGTGGCGTTAGCCATGCGTAATTCGGGCAGAAGGAAGCAGGAGGGAGGCAAATGAGGGAGGACACAGGGTTGAAAACAGAGGTTGGAGGGTGGAGGTGCGAGGTGGTCGTTGTCTTATTCATTGTTTTGCCGATCGGCGCGGGCCCTCGCACCCCCCCTCCCGCCCCCCATGGATTGGATCTTGGCGGTTTTTGGCCTCTGTTTCGAACAGGTGGGGTGTCCTCCACCGGACGCACTGTTGCAAACAGTCGCGCTGAGCCGAGGTCTGGAGCCAGAACCCCCCTTCCCCCCACCTTCCGCTCAATGTCGAAACGCCGAATAAGAAAACGCTCACGAGGAGGCATGAGTGAAGACGAGCGAAAAGGGACAACGTGTGTTTAACGGGAGAACGTGTGTTTAACGGAGGAAGAGATACGATCGACGGAGGAATAAGGAGGGAGGGCCAAGGCAGGATGAGCGAGGAAGGGAGACGGATAAATGGGGAGATCAGTAATATGTTGCAGCAAAAGATCGATGATGACGGCGTCGTGAATCGTGATTCGGTGTGTTTCCAGATGTGTCGTGTTTACCATGAATATATCAGTGCATATGGACCTCCTGCTATCTCTAACCGCAGATCGACCCCAAGGAAACGATCGAATACATTATTGGAACATTCACAGCAAGAGTCTGCACAACTCCTCTTCACTCCTCGTGTTCATCGGTGGCACCCTGAAGTCACTTCAGAGCAGGTGGACGTGTGCGTGGCTAGGCTCAGGTATATCGGTGATAAGCTCCCGCCATTCATACACACAGCTTGTTTTAAGCCCTCGCTCACCGGATGGATCACTACCAGACGATACAGACAATCCGTGTGACCGTGCTTCTTCGGTTGTGCGAATATTAGTGACGACTCTCTTGACCAGTATGCCAGGTGCTCTGCACTTATCGGATTCATCAAATCACACCTCCTACATCTGCCCGTGAGCGGGGCTCTGGTGTTGCAGGAACAATATGTCCTCACTTCTTCCAGGCCAACACATGCATCTTCCTCTGGTTTCATGCCGTTGCTCTCGACTGTATCCACGCACTCTTCTGCTCCCTTCTCGCCTCCACCGCGGCACCTCGCCGCATGCTCGTAACGTCATCTGGGGGAGACTGCGAGCCGCAGCGCGCCGACCTCGTCAGGTTGCGCCTTGGTCGCCTAGCGGCCCGCGCGGGGACTGGACTGCCTACGCAGCGGTGCGCCTCCTCCTCCTCCTCCTCCTCCTCCTCCTCCTCCTCCTCCTCCTCCTCCTCCTCCCCCTCGTTCTCCGCCTCCTCCTCTTTCTCCTCCTCCTCCTCTTCCTCCTCCTCCTCCTTTGTGCTGCCTCCTTCCTTCGCCCTTGTCTTGCTCGTCTCCGTGGCAGGAGTTGCAAAAGGAGTTCGGGTCGCTGAAGGCTGCGAAGCGGGAGCTGCGGCTGGCGAAGGAGCGGTCGAAGAGGCCGACCGAGACGCCGAATGCGATGGGGGAGGAGGATCAGAGGAGAAACGGCACCGATAATTACCGTTGCTCGTCCTGGAGAGCCCTCGTCGCCACGGATGGGTTCTCTTCGGAATTTTTGTCAGAATCCGCCCCAGGAAATGTCAGGGGGTAGCGGTATCAGTACCTTTCTGTCCCCCTCCATAGGAGGGCGGAGGTATAAGGGAGGATGATGGGGGGAAAAGGGAGGAGGGTGGATATGGTGGGGCGGGAGATGAAGCGGGGAGTGGAGGGGTCGAAGAGGGCCACCGAGACATCAGCTCCGAAGAGGGGGAGGTGGAGACATTCTACGCTTCTCTTGAGGAGGGCTCCAGGAAGGCCCACGTCGTCATGGCGGGATCCGCCTCGGACGTCGCTGCTGTTGCTGCCGCTACCCGCGGCCGAGACAGCTTCTCCTCCTCCCCCGCCGGGCTCCTCGAGTACCTTACTCTTTCTCCTGCTGCTCCTCCCAGGGGGGAGGGGGAAGTGGCAATGTGTCTCCTGTTAGCGCTCCAGCCCTTGTCCGTTCTTCATCAAGCACTGCTTGCAATGGGGCCATCGCGTGTCTTACCACCTTGTGCGCTGTCTGGTGCTCTGGCTGCACGGTATGCGTTGCGCCCGATTGATTGCATCACGCGCAGTTTGCACCACAGGTCGCACTTCGTAGATCGCACCGCGTACCGGTTGTACCCCATAGGTTGCACCACAGATCTTGCACCATACACAGTTAGGAACAGTACAGGGATTGCACCAAATAGGTTGCACTACGCACAAATACGTAGACCATCAAGCACTGCACAGTGTTGGTTGCACTACCTCGATTGCACCACATTTCTGAAGGGATTCGTCCTCTGCCGCAGGCCCCCCCTCTGATTGTTTGCGTGGCTACGCTTGATCGGTAGATTGGTTAGTGTTCTTTTCGGTTGGCCTGCTGGCAGCTCGGTTAATTGGCTTGTTATCTAAGTTGATGGCTGGCAGTTGATTCGGATTGTTTGTTGGATGGCTGGATGCACGCGCGTATGTAATACTCAATTAGAGATGGTGGCATCGGGAGCGCGCTTCCATTATCATCTAAGAACTTTGCGGCTTCGGTAGTGCGCACCCTCGGCTATTTCTTAGGATTTGTGGCCTCGAGCCCAGAAGGGGGGGGGGGCGGCGATACACGTAATCCCAGTATAGAAAATGTGATGCTTCTGCTCTGGAGAGGGGGGGGCGCTTTTGGGCAGCCTTGTGGGCTGGGTTCGTGGCCTCGGGAACGCGAACGCGCTGTGATTCGCAAGGGGCTTGTGGCTCAAGCCTTGCAAGCCTCCGCCATCTCGGCCACAACCACAGCCCTAAACGGTCTGGGCCGCCACTGGCGTATTCGAAGCTGTCCCGTGCGCTTGCCGGACGGTCCTGCCCCATTCCATTGCTCTCTTTGTCTTCGCGCGTCGCGCGGTTTCTTCTTTCCGCCCTCTTACCCATCCGTCGTTGAAAATAGAATTGTTTGGATTCCCAGATTCCAATCTACTTCAAGCGCCTTTCTACTTCAAGGATCGAGTGGCATCGCCTTTTCCGTCCTCTTTAGGGGGCGGGCGGAGGCCCAATCTATTTTCAACGCCTTCCTATTTCATGGTTCTACCTGCTTCTTCCGACCAATGGGTGATCCCTCTTTGATGGTGCCAGGCCCGATGACGGCCGAGGGCCGAAATTGAGGGAAAACGCAGCGACTGAGAAGCTCGTCTCGTCGGATGCCTGGAGTTCTCGTCCGGAGCCCCTCGTTGTGCCCGAGGTCTGGAACATCGGAGAGGTCAGGGCTCAAGAGACGGGGGTCAATGCAAACGGGGGTCAGCCAGAGCGCCAGATCTTGCAGGATCCAACAGTGCAAAGGGTGCATTGACCCGGGTCTGGGTGCAGGATCCTGCAGGATCTTGCAGGATTTTCCAGCATCCTGCAACGCCTGACTGACCCCGGTTTGCATTGACCCGGGTCAGTGCGTCCCCGAAGAGGCTCCGCGCGGCGCGCCGCGCGCGCGCCGCGAGAGGCAGCCTGCACCCATCGCGGAGCGGAAGGCGCTGGACGACCGCCCCGTGGACGCGGGGCACCGCGCCGATTCCGTGGTCCGGCACCAGGCCGGCGACCGCGCCGCCGCCCCTCCAGCCTCGAGGTTCGGGTCGGAGGGGGGGAGGAGGAGGAGGAGGAGGAGGAGGAGGAGGAGAGGAGGAGGAGGAGGAGGAGGAGGAGGAGGAGGAGGACCAGTGTAAACCCAAGTGGCGTACGATGTTGGAATACACCCTCCATCCAAGCTCCCTCTTCATAGGCCCCTACAACGGTTCTTTTTTATTGAGGGAACTGCCTCGTTGGAAGACAACTGTTTGAGGATCCTGAAGCATGCCAAGACATTGTTCTCGGGATTCCAACGCCACGCATAAACCTGACTGTTGCGTCTTGACGATCCTGATTCGTGCCAGAACGCGATTCCCAGGACCGGAACACCGCGAATCAACTGAATCGTGCCAGAACGCCATTCTTGGGATTTGAACACCGCGAATCCTCTCTTGTGCACCATCATAAGCCTGAATACCTCCAAAACGCAATTTCTGGTACGTGGGTCATGGGAACCCGTGAAACTCTTGCAAATTCTTAAGACGAGTGTGCGCGGCGCTACGGCGAGAGCTACATGTTGAAAAGGAACCGCCCTCAATCTGCGAAACTCTTGAAATTGTGTAAACGAATGTGCGCGACGCTAAGGCGAGAGCCATATGTTGAAAAGGTACCGCCCTCAATGCATGAAAGTCTTGTATTTTTCAGGACGAATGTGCGCGGCGCTGAGGCGAGAGCCACCTTCTGAAAGCGACTCGCCCTCATCCCGCGAAAGTCGTGCAACTTTTAGAACGAATGTGCCCAGCGCTCAGGCGAGAGCCACAATTTGAAAACCACCCGCCCTCAATGTGTGAACCAGTTGCCAGCGTTTACGTTTCAGAGTCATAGGTGGTGAGGAAGTCTCAGGCGAAACGCCCAGCCCGCCCTAAAGATTGGCCTCGGGGTGCGACAGGGAGAAGTTGCTTATAAGGACAAGGAATGGAGGAGGAGGAGGAGGAGGAGGAGGAGGAGGACCCCTCGTCACCACGGCTGGACGCCGCCCGGGAGCTGGTGCGTCTGGGCCCCCAGGAAGGGGCCCGCGGACCGATGGTGAGCCGCCGACCTGTCTCGGCTCGCCTTGCTCCGCGAGAGGGGGGAGAGGGAAGGGGTGGGGGGTACGACATCTGCCGCATGCCGCTGGGGTCGGCCCCCTGCCCCTGCCTGCTCCGTGCCGGGCCTCCCGATCCCGGCATCGCCCCAGCATGCTAGCACGATGTACGTTTCGCCTCCCAAGGGGCGCCGCGCGCCCCGAGACATCTCACAGCACGTGCTTCGTGGCGGGCGCTTTCTGGCCGCACCGCTCGGGCAACAAAAGATCACAAGACGGTTGTGCCATACATGTTCGGGTCGGACGCTCGCCTCCGAGGAGGACACATCGCGCTCTTGCATCCTTCTGCGTCGCATTCCCCGTCCCTCTCCCTCCCTCCCCTCTCTTCTGCCCGTCCTCCCCCCTCTGCCGCCTGCGTCCCACCATCATGCTCCCTGCTCCTCGCCAACTCTGCTCCCCGCCCCCCTTTCTACCCGCCATCCCTTTTCCTTCTCCTCCTCCTCCTCCTCCTTCTCCACTCCTCCTCCTCCTCCTCCTCCTCCTCTTTGCTTCACGTCTTCCTCCACCTCCCCCCCCCGAGGCCCTCTTGGAGAAGAAGGCCGCGCGAGCCGCCAAGCTGGAGAGGACTCTTTCGGCCCGCCCCGGGCGGCGGAGGAGAAGAAGTGGGAGGGGAAGGAGGAGGACAAGGAGAAGGAGGAGGAGGAGGAAAAGGATGAGGATGAGGTAAGGAGGAGGAGGAGGAAGAGGGGAGTAGGAGCAGGAGGAGGAGGAGGAGGAGGAGGAGGAAGAGGATGAGGAAGAGGAGGAGGAAGAGGAGGAGGAAGAGGAGGGGGAGGGAGGAGGAGGAGGAGGAGGAGGAGGAGGAGGAGGATTGCAGTGTAGTGCCAGTGCCCTTCAGTCAGGGTAGGCAAAAGGACGCTGGGTTCCTGGCTAACCAGCGGCCACAGGGCAGGACAGCTTGCTGCCCTAGTTGAAACACGTGCGCTTGCGACACCGAAGGGATGATCGCCATCCTGGCGGTGACGAGGGGGACCCGCTCCGCATCAGTCACCGCCCACCAAACCACCTCAACCCAACCCGAAGGCCCCGATTTGCTCTCCATTTCCAGTGGGGGGGGGGGATCGGGGAACATTTGGAAAACACGTGTGGAACCCGTACCCCCCCCAACCCGCAATTCGGGTCTTCGGGTTGGGTTGGGGTGGTCTGGTAGGTCGTCAATCAGGGCAGCATGGATATTTGCCCTGCAGCAGGCCAGGACGCCACCTTAGGGTTCACAAAGGGGAGACTTGCGCCATCGCAGGTCGGATCGCCACCCAGGGGGTGACACGGGAAGGCAGCTCTCAGGCAGGCCGGGTCGCCCCCCCCACGGGTGGACGGGGCGGGCCCCCTCCGTTGCCGCCGATGTCCCCGCTGGTGGGTGACAAGAGGGACCTGTTCCACAGAACCGCCACCCTGGCGGCTTCCAGGGGAAACCAGTCCACCTTGCAACCTCAGGGGTGACAAGGGGGCCCTGCTCCAACGCGGGTTCACCGCCACTCTAGGGGGGACGCTTGGTTGGTTCCTGAGCAGGGCGGGTCGCTGGCCTACGGGTGACCGAGGGGCCTGCTCCACAGCAGTGTGGGCCATCGCAATGTCTATGGGTGACGGTTGGGTGGCTCCGCAGCGGGATTGATCGTTGGCCTGTGGGTGACAAAGGAAAGCCTCCTCCACAGCAGGGCGGATCGCCACCCATTGGGACCAGGTTGGACCGTGCTCGTCCGCAGAGCGATGACCGTCGTTCGACCGCCGGCCAACATACACGTAGATCCCTACAGTTGCGCCCATAACGTCATTGGCCCCCCGCGCTCGCAAGCACACGCCAGCGCAGCGTGTTCTCCGACTGTCCCCCCAGCCGCGGAAGCACCGCCTGGCAGGCGGCTGCACCCCAACGCTTTGCTTCTAGGTCATGTTGAGCTCAGGGCGTGCTGGCAATCCAAACGGTCGCCGCCATCAATGCGGTGGCCGCCGCTCTGGCCAGGTTGACGTCGCCGCAGCCTTAGCCTGCCTGCCCGCCGCGGCCCCCGCACGACCTCGGTCGTCCTGGGGATGCGGGCGATGGGCGGAGGCGCACATGGACGGGGTGAGAAAGAGGTGGGGAAGGGACGGAAGCCGGGTTCGGTAGTAGCCGCCATGGCATGTTGCTTAATACTGTTGGAATGCCACCCATCGCCGGCACAGGGTTGCAAGAGCGCGTTTCTTTACTGCTTGGGGCATGACGGGCGTCATGGCCCTCGACCCCCCCCCTTGACGTAACGCTCCCCCGCTCCAGTGCGTTCCAGGCACTGCCGCCGTGCGCATCGTGAACCGCATACGTGTCCGCATAGGCATCCGCATAGGAGTTTGGCCCGCAGTCTTTGTCGACATCGTCGTCGTCGTCATCATCGTCGTCGTCCTCGTCGTCATCGTCATCGTCGTCGTCGTCGTCGTCGTCGTCGTCTTTGCTCGTCGCTCGTCGCTCGTCGCTCGTCGCTCGTCGTCGTCGTGCGCGCGGACTCAGCTGGAGCCTTTTTGTTTGTTCTGGGCCGATGACGGCAATCATCTTGGGGGGGGAGGGGCCCGATGACGTCACGGTTCGCGCCGGCGGCGTCTGGGAATGCCTAGGAATGAACGAGGACGGGTAGCAGCAGCATGTCGGTGGCGATCTGCACCACAACGACTGTGTACACCACACCGCCTATGTACACCACAGTAGCCGCGCGCAACACAGCGCCAGTGTGTGCCACAGTGCCTGTTGGTACCATACACCACATCGCTTGCGTATTCCACGTCAGCCGTATGCAGCACAGCACCAGTGTGCACCACAATGCTTGCGTGCACTACAGCGCCTGTATACACCACGGCGCCTGTGTGCACCACAGCAACCGTGTGCAGCAAAGCGCCACTGCTGTCTATGGGATGTTTTTAGAAGCCTTATGGCAAAATTGATCGCCTGTGGATCCAGGAATTGGAAAGGAATCCTTATGGGAAAAGGAGCGCCGCTGGAATATAACAGTCCTCCAGAGCCCGCCCGTATCATCCTAACTCCTCCCATCTGCGTCCAGGAGGCTCCAGCTAAATTGGCCGTCCGACAGGGGGGAAGGTGAGGGACGACGAGGATGGTGACGAGGACGAGGAGGAGGACGAGCAGGAGGAGGCGGAGGTGGAGGAGGGAGGAGGGAAAGATGTCGCATTCTATTATCAGCATTTCCCTGGCGCGGCGTCTAGCTGTCCGCAGCATATCCTCACCGACATGCTCCTTCTACCTGTCCTGTGCACGCAGGCACTCTGGTGTACACTAGCGGTGCGTTGCACGCGGATGCTGTGGTGTAGACAGGCGCTGTGGTGTGCACAGGCGTTGCGGTGCACGTAAGCATTGTGGTGTAGACAGGCACTGTGTTGCACAGTTCTGTTGCGGTGTACACATTCGCTGTGGTGTACACCGGCGCTATGGTGCACGCAAGCACTGTGGTGTACACAGGCGCTGCGTTGCACACGGCTGTTACGGTGTACGCAGGCGCTGTGGTGTACACAAGCGCTGTAGTGCACGCGAGCATTGTGGTGTACACAGGTGCTGTAGGGCAGATCGCTACCTACATGCTGCTCGCGTCGTTGTCGTTGTCGTCGTCGTCGCCGCCGTCGTCGTCGCTCGTCGCTCGTCGCTCGTCGTTCGTCGCTCATCGTCGTCGTGCTCGCGGGCGCGGCTGTGGTGTCGGAGCCTCACGGCGGGGGGGGCGTTACGTCATACCCCCCCCGCCACGCCAGTAATAAAGAAACGCGCTCCAACCCTCCGTCCTCCAGGATATCCCCCCCGCGCCCTCCAAGGGTTGAACCTGGAGGGGGGGGTTCTCGGGCCTCGGTGGGTCCAGTAAGGGCGGCCCGCGAGGATCCCTTCACCCGTCTCAGGCGGATGCGTTTCAGACGAGTCTCCTTCCTCACCTCCTGCCTCCAAGCACGCCGCCTTGCCAAAGAAGATGCCCCCTCGAGCTCGTGACCGCTCTCCGATGCATCGGCGATGCGACGCTATCCTCCGACCCCGTCTACTCGGGCCCCATCTGGGAGGCCTCTACCGACGCGCCAAGTCCGCGACGCAGGTTTTGCCCTGGAGGCGGGGCCTGCGAAGTCCTGCCCTCGAGGCGGGAAATGGGCCCGGGATTCTGGCTCGGATCCTTTGCTCTGTGGCCTCGCGGTCAATCTGCACTGAGCCAGTTTGTTCTGGCTCCCCAACCTCTTGGGACGGTGGACTGGCTGCTGCGCTCCCTCCAAACTGAGAGCCAAAAGCTACGGGCAGGCAGCATTACACATGTTTTCTGCGCCCTGTGTGAATTACCACTGCATGCCTTACGGATCAACTGCACTATGACAGCCATGAAAATCCCTCCTACCTACCCCTAGTGCCTCCTATCAGCTAAGACCACTGCCGAGGGCCACGAGACGTTCGCTTACGTTCGGAAGTCCCCTGTAATATGTAATTCGGATGTCAGGCACGACCCGCATCGCCTGCATCGCTATCTGTCGTAAACCTGGGTGCTCCAAGAACCTCTTCAAGGCCCTGGGCACCGTGCTCCCCAGCTCAGGCTTGAACTTCAATCTGCCACACTGGCGGGCATCCGGCCTAGTGCCTCTACTTGCCCAGTTTGTGCTGAGATCACCTACCGTTGGCATGATCTGGTCGACGTGGTCTGATAGAAAAGGCTGGGACAATCGCTGTCTGAATTCATCGCACGCAGCATCTTCAAACTCTGCATGAGAACAGAGGCCCCTCAGCGTCGTTAGCCTCGCCTTCGGCCACGCTTTGTGCACGCGCCGGGGGGTGGGCACTGGAGGGAGCAAGGGGGGTAGCTAGGCTCGTCTCTTTGAAACGGGGCCTGGTCGCCACACTCGGCCCTCGCTTGCATAATCACCTGCAGTTCTAGCCTATCGGCAGATCTGTTCGAGAACGTTTCGATCTTCAAGGTGAAATGTCCTGCCCTCGCGATCAGTTCTCTGCAAACGAGCCCTCCTTGCATACCATCCTCTACAATCATAAGAACGTCGTCTCTGAACCGCAAGTACACAGACATATCTTGGATGATTTGGTTCCTGACGCCCCAAAGTCCCATCCGCCGCACCAGCGACAAGTCCGCCACACCCCCAGAGTGTGGCAGGCCCATTTCTGAACAAAGGATGACTTCGAAACACCTCCCTGGCAGATGCGGCGAAACGACACATGGATTAGCACGTGCTACTCATTCCCGCTGCTGGCCAGCGAAGAAACTAGATACATCTTCAATCAGCTCACAAGCCCTTCGCGAGACTCCCCGCCCCCCCCCGACAGCGCCATAGGGCCCCATGAAGAACCGAAGAGGGGCCTGGAAGCTCCCCACAGAACGAGGGGCCCAGAGGCTGCCCAAGAGGGCCTCCAGACAACCCTGCACCGCTCTCCATTCCTCCTGCTCCTCCTCCTCCTCCTCATCATCATCATCCTCCGTGCCTCACGGACACCCACAGGAGTCCCGACCTCCAGAATGGCCCCCCAAGACAACTTGCAGTACATCTGCGAGAGGGGCCGCGAGCCTGCTCAACATGTGCGATAATGGTTGCGCACGGCGGATCAGCATGACAAGAAGCTTGCGCCCTCTCATCACATGTTCCCGAACGTTCGGAAGCCCTCTACTTGAACATTGTCGGACACATCTCCCATGGGCTTTCCCACGTTCTTCGCGAGCCTTCACCAGGGAAGCCCCATGAGGGCCCCAGAAGCCAAGACGAGGGGCCTCAGGCTTCTTCAGTCGGCATCCAGATAACCCTATTCCGCTGTCCCTTCCTCTTCCTCGTCCTCCTCTTTCTTCCCCTCCTCGCCCTCCTCCTCGCCTCAAGAACAACCAGGACTCCCGACCTCCAAGAGGACCCCCAAAAGACAATTTCCAGGTGCGGGGGGGCCGCGAGCCTGCCTGACATGTACGACGATGGTTGCGCACGGCAGCGGGATATTAAAGACACGTTGCGCCCTATTGCCACATGCTCCATAACGTGCTGGAAACCCTCCGCTGGAACATTCTCGTCGCAAGCTCTCGATGCACATCTATTGGCAACACCCACGAGGGAGCGGAACATGCAATGATCAGTTGGGTGGCGATTGAGCGAGAGCGATGTCGCCCGCTCGGCACCCTTCCAATCAAAAGTTTGAGTCAAGGTCTCCTCAGTTCCATAACTTCTCCTCGCGCATGCGCGCGCAACTGAGATGCCAAAGGGGCTTTCTTCATACATACTGTACCAGCTCGCCTCTAAACTTGTTTCCCTAACCTTCTCCCACGCCCCTAGAACGCCCTCAGCAATGCCCCCAGAGGCCCCAAGAGGACCTCCATGTGCAACGGGGCCGCGCATCGGCCAAACATGTGCGGCGATGGCTGCACACGTCAGCTCCCGAGTGCAGTGGCCCTCAACGTTGCACCGATCGCTCTTGCAAGGAGGCGAGAAGACAGGGATCATGCAGGGAAGAAAAGCGGGGGGGATGGAGGACAGAGGAGCAGATGATGATGATGATGATGAGGAGGAGGAGGAGGAGGAGGAGAGGAAGAAGAATGGACGAGGACGTGATACATCCCGAACATGATCCGGCCCCAGAGGAGGTCGCGACATGCGCCCATTGTGTTCTGATGTTTCCGTGCCCCGCGCTAGAACCTCAGCGAGCGCGAAGCGAGTGGTCCTAGGGAGGGAAAGGGTAATGTGATGAGCAAGCGCTGTCGGAGGGAGGAGAAGGGAGAAGCAGGATGAGGAAGACAGGGGACATCACAGCTGCCCTTCTCTCGTGAAGGCGGTCTCCACCTTCTGTTTCACGTGATCCCGCCCGCATGCAGTCGCACCAAGTTGCGAGAGAGGAGACTGAGGCAGAACATTAGAAATATAGGATGTGGGCATTTTGACAACATCTCCCAGACTAGAACCTACGCGCGCGCAGCGCGCGCGCGCGTAGTTCGAGCATAGTTCGTTGATCTATACATATATGCGTACACGCATACATACACATGTAAATACACTCATCATGTATGCATGCATGCATGCATACATACATACACGCCCATGCATGCGCACATAACTACCGACCTACCTACCGATTGACCTACCTACCTGCCTGTCTACCCATCTACCTACCTACCTACATACGCACATACAAGCATACACAATACACACTACAAACATACATGCCTGCCTGCCTGCCTGCCTGTCTGCCTTCATGCTTACGTACGTATGTACGTATGTACACCTACATCCATTCACATACATACATACACACGTACACACATGCATACACACACCTACACACCCATACAGTCGCGTATGCACATATGTACACATGCGTACATTCATACTACACGTGTACATGCATGCATGCAATCATTCATACATACATATGTACGAGTATACATGCATACATGCACGCATGCATACATATATATATATATATACATGCATGCGCACATTCATGCATACATGCATACATCCATACATGAACGCATGCATACATACATGCACATGCATATACATGCTTACGTTCACACACGCACATACTCTTATACACACCTGCTACATGCCCACCCATACATGCATATACACATCCACGCCTACATGCATACATGTATACATACATATATACACGTACATACATGCATTCATGCACTCATTCATCTGCACATGCAAACATACGTTCATGCATACCTGCACAGTCACACACATACACATCCATACATGCATACACACATACATGCATGCATGCATACAGGCATGCATGCATGCAACCATACGTACACACAGACAGACAGCCAGGCAGACGTCTGGGGATCCATATAGTCATACGTACAGTCCGACAGAGAGACATACGTGTAGGCATACACACATATGAGTATTGCATGCATGCGTGGACACATAGTCGTTTATATTGCTATCGATATTCATATATAGAAACACACATGTATATTCCTGTCAGGTGTATATATATATATATATATGTATGGCACCGCCCTCCATTTCTCGCGGTGATGTTGGCACCGGGTCACTCTTTGTTTGCTTCGGTTCTTGCCTGCGCACGATGCACGCGCGCGCTTTCACGGATGTGCGCACTCATTCCTCTCGATGCGAGGTCGTGACGCCGCATGGCAGCTCCATCCGAACGGCGACGCGCCACCCCGAGCCGGCCGAACATCGGCTGTTGCCGCCCGCCCGCCCGGTGCCGCCAGACGGCGCGCCGCGCCAGTGCCCCCCCCCCGAAGGATAGAGCGGCTGCGGGGGAAGCGGCAGAAGCGAGCGTCGCAGGAGGTCGCGCGGCCGCGCCCGCGCTGGCCTGCCAGGGCACGGGGGTGGCGCGCCCGCGCTGCCCGCCGCGCCCACTCCCTTCTGAGATCTTGCGCCTGCCTTCGGTCGAGGGGGGCGGGAGTGGGAGTAGAGCAGAGGCGACAATCAGAGAGGTGGGAGGAGGAGGAGCAGGCAGGAGGAGGAGGAGGAGGAGGAGGAGGATTGGGAGGAGGAGGATTGGGAGGAGGAGGAGGAGGGGGAGGAGGAAGGGGATGGGGATGGAGATGGGGATGGAGATGGGGGGGTACGACGTCGACGCTGGAGTAGGATTGAGGAGGCTCGAGCTGTGGGGGAGGGAGACTCGAGGGATGCTGGAGGTGTGGGAGGGGGTTGGAGGCCGGAGGTGGTGGGAAGGCACGAGGGAGGACACGGGTGGGTCCCAGTGTGAGGTGGAGAACAGGACTGGCCAGCCACGTGCAGAGGGAGGTCGGGGGAGGGGGGAAGGTTTCTTAGAAGCACCACTGCTTCCAAGAAGGCGCGGGCGGTGCCTGCAGATGTAGGGCCGATGCCTTTGAAGAAGCAGCCTCCTTCTGAGAAGCCTGCCCCCCTCCCCCCTACCGGCAGCAGTCGGTGTCGGTGTGCACCCAGCGCCTTGCGGTCACGGCCGGCCATGGAGGTGTTCCTGGATCGCCTGGCCGTCCACTCCACACGGTGTGCCGCGCTGGCCCAGGTCACCTGCAGGGGCGCTACGATGGCCGCGCCTCGGGCGCGTCCTTCCCCAGAGCGCCGCTCTTCTCCAGGGCGGGCGGAGAAACCACCCCTCTAGTTCCAAGGTGGAGCGTCGAGAAGGCAGGTGGGGAGGCTAGTCGGAGGATCGGGTCGGACGAAACTTGGGGATTGGGAAAGTCCACACCACACGAATGCTTGGGTCGACAGGCCTGCAGCAACACGATCTCGAATCAGGACGTCGGAGGAAGAAGGAGAGACCCCAGTGGGCCGTCCTACCAGAGGGGCCCCGAGATTCAGACGCCCGAGTATGGACCAGGTGGGGCTCAAGAGGGACATTGATTTCCGGATCGTTCCCGAGATCTGGGCTTGTAATTTGTTAGGTGCCGAGGCTCGCCGTGGCCAGAAAGGCCTGTTCAGTCCCTATTCAGCGCTTCCGTATGGCAGCACGATGGCTGTGCTGTTCGGCAGTTCGCCCGGTCGGTGGGGCCTACCAGCCGATGTCGGCAAGGCCCTTGTCGGGCGGAAGGAGAGCGTTTCTGTTGGCTGCTTGCGCGGTCAGGGAGGCCCGCAGCTTTGTCTCAAGCCTCTGGGGGAGGGGCCATGGGCGCGCTGCTGTCGCAGCAGGAAGCAGTCGCGGCGGTCGCGCTGCCGCGCCAAGCCCGCCCACTTGGCAGCACTGCGGCGCGCGAGCGCGCCCCGCCTGCTGTGCTGCAGCATCGCGTCCCGCGCGCCGCCCGCCCATGGGGCGCATTCCAGGGGGCGTGGCGCTGCAGCGCGTGGAGCTCCTCAAGCTGCAGATCGCGAAGCTGTCCCTCGAGGAGATCGAGGCGCTGTACCTGTGGCTGCCGAGGGTACTGGCCGGCGCCCGGCTAAGCCGGCAGAGCATGGCGGTTGCCGCGGAGAGGGTCGAGAAGTTGTTCTCTGCTGTTGCGGTGTCCACACCAGCTCGCTCTGGTGATGCTGGCACAGGCATGCGTCAGGTGCAGGAGGCCGAACGCACCCCTGATGGTGTTAGCATTTGCCAGGACCGCAGCGTGCTGAGCCAGCCCGAAGATCGAGCGGGGGCGAGCCCAAAGCCCGCCCCGCCAGAGAGGCCCGCCCCAGCTGCACTTGCGAAGGCGCCTCCTCCTCCTCTGGCTCCCGCAGGTGCTGGCATCCACCAGGAGGGCTGCGTGCTGAGCCAGCCCGAAGATCGAGCGGGGGTGAGCCCAAAGCCCGCCCCGCCAGAGAGGCCCGCTCCCGCTGCGCCGCCGAAGGCGCCTCCTCCTCCTCTGGCACCAGCAGGTGCTGGCATCCACCAGGAGGGCTGCATGCTGAGCCAGCCCGAGGCTCGAGTGGTGGTGAGCCCCAAGCCCGCCCCGCCAGAGAGGCCCGCCCCCGCGGCGCCAGCCCCTACGCCCGCCCCGCTAGAGAGGCCCGCTCCCGCTGCGCCGCCGAAGGCGCCCCCTGGTGCTCTGGCTCTCGCGGATGCTGGTACCCGCAAGGGGGGCAGCGCGCCGAGCCAGCCTGGAGATCGCGAGGCGGTGAGCCCCGAGCCCGCCCCGCCAGAGAGGCCCGCCCCCGCTGCGCAGGCCCCTGGCAGCCCCGAGCCACCCCCGCCAGAGAGGCCCTCCCCCGCCGCGCTGGCGAAGGCTGCCCCTGGACCCCTGGACGGGGGATGCCCCGGCGCGGCGGAGGCCGCCGCGGCGGCGCAGACCTCAAAGGCCGCCTCCGCTGCCGCAGAGGCGGCGCGCCCCGTTGCAGAGGCGGAGGCCACAGCCACCGATGCACGGGGCGCCCGGCCGGAGCCGCCGACGGCGCTGCCCGAGGCCGTGGAGGCGCTGCCGGAGCCGCCGACGGCGCTGCCCGAGGTCGTGGAGGAGGGGCCCGCGGGCTCAGCGCCCGCGGAACCTCGCGCGTCGGCGTCTGGCGGCCGCTGGCAACGCGCCGCTCGCGGGCGCGACGATCTGCCTGCCATCCCGGGCGTCACCAGCGACCTTGTGCCGTTGGCCCCCGCTCTGGAGTTGTGCAGCCAGGCGGCGCCTCCCGCGCCGCCGCCGCCGCCCCCAAGCCCAGCGGGCGCTGCGCTCGACGCGGCCGCGCCCCGAACGCAGGCAGCGCCGCTCAAGCCCGCGTCAGAGCCGCCCAGCAAGGCCGCGCCTCCAGCGCTGGAGCCGCCCGCCGCCAGCGCGGCCGCCGCCTTGAGGCCGATGCCTCAGGCGGGCCCTGCTGACTCTCCAGAGCCCGCCTCGGCGAAGCCGCCGCCGCCCTGCACGACGGCGCCGTTGCGCACGTCGCACGCGTCGGAGCCGTCTGGCTCGGAGCCCCTGGCCTTGGGGAGAATCGGGCGGCGCTGAGTCCTGTTGGCAGGTTCGGATGTTGCCAGAAGTGCCCCTGGCCCAGGGTGTCCCCAGGGTTTCCGACGAGGCCCCCGCGGCTTCCAGAGCACCCGCGAGGCTTGGAGCGCCCCAGGGGTTTCAAGTCTGCGCGAAAAGCTGGGACATATTGGGCCATGGGCACCTTCAGCAAACCCCGACCGGTCCAGTCGGTCGGAGCCAGCAGCCAAGGGGCTCCATCCGGGAGGAATCCAACTGTGGGCTCAGCCTCTCTTGAGGTATAGCGGGGGGCGTACGTATACTGAGCCGAGTGAGGCTGGGGTCGGCAGTGGCGGCTCTTTCCCATATCTTGTGTGTTGTTCCTGCTGTCGGTCGGGACGACGACATGGGTACGGAAACAATGGATGGTTTCGTTGTCGGCGTCGCCGCGGTCGTTGTTCATTTGAGACAGACGGCCGTCTGTCCAATAGCGGCCTCCACAGTAGGGCGGGCTTGTGGAGCGGACACGACCCTGCCAAGAACTTCGGGCAGCGTTTCTGTCCACGACGCACGGATAATCAGCAGGGCCCAGCCTCTCCCTCCTCCCCCGTGGGCGGAAGCCGTAACTCCGTGTGCGCGGCCTCGCGGGCCGGGCCGCTGGGCTGCGACCCCGCGGACACGGAGCGCTCCTCCGCGGCTGCCCCGCGCGGAACGTAGCTGTGCGACCGCGTATCCGCGGCACCGTGCCCCAGAATCCAAACGCGAGGGCGCGGCTGCGGATACAGTGGAGGCCCATGCCAAGAAGGCACCCTGCTTGCCTCCAGGGTGCCCTGGGTTTCTTGGGTTTCGATTGTTTTGCTGTGGAAGGCGTGACGTTCCCACACCAAACATCGATGGACGTCCTTGGGTCTCAGGGCTTCTTGTGGAAGGTGTCTTGTGGTCGGGCCCCTGCTGTCTGTTCGCCGCTCGTGACTCCCTCCCTGCGGCCCCCCAGGAGGAGGGGACGCCCGCGGCCGCCGCGGCGCCTGCGCCCGAGCGCGAGCCGCGCGAGGAGCGCTGGCCGTCGTTTGCCGCCGCGGCGGGCGAGGCGGCTCGGGCCGCCCAGGATAGCGGTTGCCCGGAAGCGCCGGGCGGGAGCAGGGAGGTCCAGGCTTGTGGGTATCGCTCGGACGTGCGCATTCTTTTTGCACCCCTTCTCCTCGTCCTCCTCCTCCTCCTACTCCTTCTCCTCGTCGTCGTCTTCCTCCTCCTCCTCCTCCTCCTCCTCCTCCTGCTCGTCCTCCTCCTTCTCCTCCTCCTCCTCCTTCTCCTCCTCCTCATCCTCCTCCTTCCCGTCCTCCTCCTCCTCCTCCTCCTCCTCCTCCTCATCCTGTTGATCCACTTAGCCGGCGCAGCGTTTCGGCGAGGACCATCGAGGACGAAGCCGGCAAATGCACGGGGAACGGACGTCCGAGCGATGGCAGGGTCTCCGACGGTGTGGTTTGTCCCCTCCCGGCGCTCTTCGCCGAGGCGATCTCGGCCTCGGGGGGGGGACGCGTCGTCGGGCCCCAGGGACGGCCGTCATACAAAAGCCTCCCGGGAAAGGGTGGTCGTCAGGGGCAAGGATGCAGGCCAGTCGTTGAAAATACTGTGGGGACCCATGCCAAGAAGGCACCCTGCTTGCCTCCAGGGTGCCCTGGGTTTCTTGGGTTTCGATGGTCTTGCTGTGGAAAGCGTGACGTTCCCAGACCAAAAATCGATGGACGTCCTGGGGTCTCAGGCTTGGGTTTCTTGTGGAAGGTATCTTGTGGACTGGCCTTCACTGCAGGCATTCCTGGCTTACCATCAAGAATGGAGATGCTGTGGTTGTTACGTGTTGATCTTCGGGCGGCTCCGAGCCCAATCTGCTTTATCCGTCTTCTTATTTCATGTTTCTACTCATTTCTCCCGACCGACGGGTAGGGGTGGGATAGGCATATGCTATAGGGTGGGATGCATCAACCCCCAATCGCGCATTGACCGCCGATAGGGGCCCGATACCCCCCACCTGCCCAGGAACGTGCGGATTCACTATCGGGAGCCTATCGCCGATCTGCCGGCGATGTATCGCCGATTCCAGGTCGATGCATCCCCCCCCCCTATATGCCAGTCCCCCTATATTGTTGCCCCTCAGGTCGGAGCCCCTGGGGCCGCCCAGAGGAACAGTCGCATCTTCGGACGTCGCTGGTGGGGGAAGTTGGAGCCGGGCGGGCTGCGAGGGAGCAGTGCGGGGATCCCCGCTCGCGGTGCCCACGGGGCCGCCTGCACAGCGACCGCTGCGCGCACCGCCGGAGCCCGGCGAGGACGACTTGCTGGGGGGCCCCCGATGCGGGCAACACTCGTGGCCACGTCCACTGCAGCTTGGAGCTTCGGGCTCCCTGCCCCAGGAACCCGAGGCGCACTGGATATGGACAAAAAATGCTGGCCCATAGAGGCTCGATCTTTATCCATAGCTGGTGCACCTCTGCCTTGCGGCGCCCCTTCCACGAAATTCCAAAGCGCGTCGGATATTAAGATGTAGGTATTGTCCGCACTTGAGTGCGGTGGCAGGCTGGAGCGGACGGAGCCAGTGGCGAGATTGCAGGCTGGGCACGTCGCGGCGGCCGAGTTTCATCAGGGTTCTGATCTGCGGGCGCCTCTTTTTGTGGATGGATCTCTCAAGCTCTCCGCCGCCTCTGGCGGTGTGCGTTGCGAGCAGGAACACAGCACAGCCACAGGACAGCGCGGCATTGACAGTGTAGCTCCGCACACGTGACAAATGTTCACGAGCAAGATCACAGCAAAGCCCCAGGAGAGCGAGGCTTTGACAGTGTAGCTCAACATTGACACTGTGGTGGCCGGGGAGCCCCCGCCCGTGCGGGGTCCGTCGCCGCGCTGGCTTGACTGGACCAGGGCGTGCCACAGTGCGGCGCTTGCCCCACGCAGTTTCGCCTCTAGGCCACGGGGGCAGCCTGGCTATGGACGGTGCTGCGCGCCCTTGCGCTCCTCGCGGTTGCGGGGGGGGGGGCGCAGATGTAGGGCATGGACCCGGACGACTGGACAGATTCACTTGCTTGACATGGGCGCGCGCGCACCGAGATTTGCCGAGCTGGGACAATTATGATGGAGCGCATGCTGCGCAAAATAGGAGGCAAATGCTTCACAATGGCATTCCCGCCACGATTCATGACACATGCCCTCATGTCCTCCGTGCGCCGAATTGCAGAGGGCGTTCTCGCAGGTTTGGCTGTCCAGCCGAAGTTCTGATGGGACTCGAGGGCGACGGGGACACCGAGATCAGCTGACGGCGGTTCGGGGGAACCTGCTGCTGCACACTCTTCTCCCCCTGTTTGCGTCGGGCTGGTGGTTCACTTGCGTCTTCATTTCGTCCTCAGTCCCAGGCATGTGGCCGAGCGTTGCCCGCGCCAGACACTGCGTCGCGTAGGACTGGTGCTTCCGCGTTCCTTCGCCTCGTTCCTGCGTTCCCACGCACGGCCAGTGCTTCGCAGCTTGGTTCGCGTGGGACTAGTCCACGACGGAGTTCCTCTTCACCTCGATCCAGGCAGCCCGCGCCAAGAGCTGCATCCCTAGCGCTTCGCTCCACGGGTTGATCAAGTGTTGGCCGACGCCGCCGCGGCCACCGCCTGCGGCAGTTCTGCGCTTTTCTGGATCGTTGCGCGTCACAGCGCGTGGCCCCGCCTGCAGATGCGACCAGCCCGGCAGCGTCGGCCAGTGGAGGCGACCCATGCCCCGTTCTTGTCCAAGCCACCGTTCAGATTGGCTTGGTTTCCTTGGTCGTGGGAACCTGACCTTTTCGGGCTCCGTACGGGTGAAGGCCTGTGTTTGTGGGGGCACCGCGTTTCCCCCCCCCCCAGCGCCGTTTGCATGTACGCCGTTTTCACATGTGTGCCACTGGGGATGCTACTGATCAAGTCAAGCGCAGTTTCTCTGCGGTATCACTACGACGTGGCATCACACGAATGTCAACTTTTTTGTTGGAGAGCTCCAGAGCTATAGCGTTCCACGCGCACCGCCGTCCGCATGTCTGTCATATTTCTGGGAGGCTCTGATAGCAACCTGGTGAGCAAAAGTGCCCTGAGAGACGCGCAATTGTGATGGACACTTGTGACCCGGAAAGGTTCGCATCTTCGGCGCGAGAGGGCACCGCGTACCTCGAGCGCGCCTTTCGGCAACGCGTCTCCTCTGTCTCACGAGGCCACTGAGGACATCAGTGGCTTGGGTGGGCACCGAGAGGGTACCAGTCGAGTGGACGTGCAGCACGGCTCGCTCTTTCGTCCAGGGGTGGCCTGCAGGGTCGTTCGGTGTATGGCACGGTCTTTCCAGGCATACATGTTCCACGTGCCCCCTCTCGCCTCCTCTCCTTCCCGTCCTTCCCCCCCGTCCCCCAACCCCTCCTCTCCTGAGGATCCAACCCCCTTCGCCATCACCTTCTCCTCCCCGCATTGTCACGGTTCTCGCCATCCTTATTCCGTTCTCCAATTCTTCCCCCCATGTGTTTTCTTGACGGTGATTCCCCAGTGGAGGCTCGCTTCTGGCCCCGGAACCAGCAACACCGCCCGGGGTGAAACACGGGTTCCTTGGTTTCGGGTCGACAGCTCGGGGGCTCCACGTCACACAGGAGTCATGACGTCGGATACTTGCCATGGGGGAACCGAGGCCGCGAGGGAAGGCCTCCTCGAATTTGTGGCCTCCCCGAGGCCTCCCAGCGGCACTCGCGCTTCCCCATGCCCCATGCCCGGTTCCAGAGCAGCTCCCGCGTCCAGAGAGCGACTTCCTCCAGCTGCCTCCGCCCCCAGGGAGAGATGCGCGGCCCTGCTGCTCTCCCGCGCGCTTGCCGCACGCGCCCCCGTCCCCGAGGAGCACGCCCCCGCCCCTGCCAGGGAGACGGAGCAGCGCTGGCCGTCGCTCGGCGCCGGCGGCGCCGCGCTGCCGCCGCCACAGAAGTGGAAGCCGTCGCTCCTCGGCGGCGGCCCCAAGATGCAGGCTGCCGACAGGGTGGCTCCGGGCGCCGGCAGCAGCCCCAAGTCGCAGCCCAGGGGCGGCAGCCCCAAGGCCCCACGGGCTCCAACGATGCTCAGAGGAGCAAGGGGCGTTGAGAATGGTGCGTTCCGAGCTTTCCAGGACGTTCCAGACGTTTCACACGGGCTGCAGAAACAAGGACCGCTGGGCGTTCTGGAAATCCTGGATCTGCTCCTGAGCCAATCCATGACGTCATTCCCGTCCCAGTGTAGACCTACGATAGGTTCGCGTCGCGTCGACCGGCGGCGACCCCACCGCTGGCGTTCAACGTTGAGCGCTGCCGGCGACCCAGAATCGGTCGATGTTGAACGATCCCCGTGCCCGTGGTGTCAGAGACCAGCGCCGAAGTCGGCACGACGCGAACCTGCCGCATACCGATCCTGGCCAGGCTGACCCTGGGCCCAGGATTGGCGCATGCGCCCTCCTGTCCATGCGAGGGGGGGGGCGGGGGGGCGTGGGCACGGATCCGTGGCCAGGGATGGGCCCGGCCAGGATCGGTCTGGGAGGGAGACGTCCCCCACCACGACCCCGACGCTTGGCCACGCGGAGAGGGGTAGGGGGAGGGGGGAAGGCTCATTAGAAGCACCCCTGCTTCTTGGAAAGCGCTGGCCTTCTCTACAGATGTAAGATCGGCGCCCTTCTAAGAAGCAGCCTCCTTCTAAGAAGCCTTTCCCCCTCCCCCTACCCCCTCTGCGCGCCGCCAACCCTCGTCGCCGCGGCCGGGAGTTGGAACCCACTCGCACAATCCTGCAGCTCCAGTGGGACACCATGGTGACACCATCGAGGCCCCCCCCGAACACCATCGGAAGGAACACCTGTAGGCTCACCCGTTCGGTGCCCGCCCTCGCGGCTCCCCCCGTGACGTGCCCTGTGGCCCCTACGCGGTCGTTTGCGGTTCGCACGCGCTTCCTCGGCCTGCTGGTTGCCTGCTTCGCCCCTGGCGCCTGGGCTGGTCTTGCCGCCCGCGCTTTCCCCCGCCCCACGTCGCCCCGTACAGGGGGGTTTCGCCGCCCCCGTCCTGGGGGCACTGGCGCTTTTTTTGTTCTGTACGTGGCGCGCAACCTTGCCCGCTGACCTGGTCAGCATCTGCCCCCGACGCAGGACCGCGTGCAGGACTACAACATCGGAGGGGCCAGTTTGAGGGAAGTCGCGCAGCGACCCAGCACTGCCCCAAGACGGCCCAGGCAACTCCCAATGCGTTCCAATCAGGCCCTAAGAGGGCATCCAGCAGTGCCTCGAGAAGGGCTCTCGAATTTCAGGGCGGTGTCGACTAAAGCGTGCCGCGCTCAAGGAATCGCCCGGATTGCGTTCGTCCTTTATCTCGGCGGCGGTTGCGCTGGGTGTTGCATGAGCCCCGCAATCGAGGATCTTGTGGGTTGTGTGTGCGCCTGTTCTCGTGCGACTGAATCACGCGGCTTCCTCAAGGACAAGTGTCTCACCCGAGATTATTCCATTCGTCCCGCTTTGCCGCCATGGCGTTATAAGCGGCGCCTCGCTGCTTTCTTGCGCCCGGCCTCCGCCTCCTGCGTTGCGACCCTCCTTCCAAGTGCGCGCGCCCCCGATCTCCAATCGCCGGCGCATCGCGCGGAAGGTTTGATTTGTTAGCGGCGTTCCCGCGCGCGCGCCGCGCTCGGGCCCGAGCTGCGCGCTCGCCGCCGCGTCCACTTCGCGCGGCCACATCGGGCGTTCGCGCCATGTCGGAGCCTCGTTTGGCCGCCCGGGCAGCGCGCGAGGGCACGTGCGCGCCTTCGCCCTGGCGAGCACGAGCGTGCGATGGCAGCGCCAGCACTGCAGCCTCGAGCCGCCGCGCGCACTTCCTCATGCGATGTGCGCCGTCGTTGTGCCGACGCGGGCCCCCGATTGAGGGCCACGCGCAGCGTTGCCCCCGCAGACTGAAGCGCCGGCGCGAAGACGCCACGCAACACCGCATACGTAATCATTGAAAACTCACGCGTCCCATTCGGGAGCCATTCGGGCACAGCTCGGGCACCAGAACTTGCTTGGGCGCGTTCGCCCACGACTTACAGGCGGGCTTCGCCGTCCTCGTCCTTGGGGCACTGGCGCTTCCACTGCTGCACGTGACACGACTCCTTGCCCGCTGACCTGGTCAGCTGCCCCCGCCGCTGCTGGCCCCCCCAGCCCCGCCAGCGCTGCTGGCCCCGCGGCGGTGACGGCCGCGCCAAGCGCCCCGAGGAATGCCACGTTCCACTGAGCGGCCCCTGCTCGCCCCCCCCCCGCTCTTGGGCCGTCGCTTCGTTGTCTCCCCCCCTCTCCTGCGCGGAACGAGCAAGCTGGCGTCCTCCTGCAAGGCGCAGCCTCCGGAGGGGAACGCCGCGGTGCCCGCGGCGGAGGCGGAGCAGCGCTGGCCGTCGTTCGCCGCCGCCTCGGCCGAGTGCGACCGGGGGGCGCGGGATCAGGAACGCCGGGGGGGTGCGCGGGGAGGGGACTTGCCGTTGCGGGGGCGGCAGGAGCTGGGGGAATCGACAGGGGATGGGTGGGGAGGCTGATGGTGTGGGGGGGATCGGGGGCGTGATGTGACCGGGGGGGACGGAATATTACGCTTTGGGTCACGGCAGCTCCCAGTTTGCATGGCCCCCATCGTTTGCGTTTTGTTTTCGATCTTGTTTTTCCCGACCATCCTGTGGTGTTGGGTCCTCGTTTTGAAGAAACGGTCCCCGCGTCTCTTTCTCCCTCGCCTTCGCCCCAGTGGGGGTACCACATGCGCCCGCCACACCCAGTACAGCGTTTCGTGGGCTCCAAAGGGAGCTAAAGCCCCAGTGGGGGGTACCACATGCGTCTGCCACACCCAGTACAGCGTCTCGTGGCCCCATGGGGAGTTCCACCGAAGGCCCCAGTGGGGGTACCACATACGTTTGCCACACCCAGTTTCGTGGCCCCATACGGGGCTCCACCGATGGCCCCACTAGGGGGTACCACATGCGTCTGCCACGCCCAGTACAGCGCTTCGTGGCCCCATGGGGAGCCAGCTCCACGCAAGGCCCCGGTGGGGGTACCATTTGCGTCCGCCACACCCAGTACTGGGGGTACCACATACGTCCGCCACACCCAGTACAGCGCTTCGTGGCCCCATAGAGAGCTCCACCGAAGGCCCCAGTGGGGGTACCACATGCGTCCGCCACACCCAGTACAGCGTTTCGTGGCCCCACAGGGATCTCCACCGAATGCCCCAGAGGGGGTACCACATGCGTCCACCACGCTCAGTACAGCGCTTCGCGGCCCCATAGGGAGCTCCACCGAAGGCCCCAGTGAAGGTGGCCGCATGCGTCCGCCACACCCAGTAGAGCGTTTCGTGGCCAGTGGGACCGTGCGCATGCGTCCCGCGCACGCAATGTGGCACTGTCACCCACCCAGTACAGCATTTCGTGGCCCCATGGGGAGCTCCACCGAAGCCCCCAGTGGGACCGCCCACATGCGTCCCGCACACGAATTTAAACATTTTCATCCACAGTATAGCGCTTCGTGGCCCCAATAGGGAGCTTCACCGAAGCCCCCAGTAGGACCGCCCACATGCGTCCCACACGCTCCATGTGGCAGTTTCACCCACCCAGTACAGCGGTTCGTGGCCCCAAAGAAAGCTCCACCGAAGCCCCCACTGGGACCGTCCGCATGCGCTCCGCACACCGAATTTGGCATTTTCACCCATCCACTACAGCGCTTCGTGGCCCCATAGGGAGCTCCACCGAAGCCTCCAGTGGGACCGTCCGCATTCGTCCCGCACACCCAAGTTGGCGGTTCGTGGCCCCATTAGAAGCTCCACCGACGCCCCCAGTGGGACCGTCCGCATTCGTCCCGCACACCCAAGCTGGCATTTTCACCCAGCCAGTACTTCGTTTCGTGCCGCCATTCGGATTCCCACCGAAGCCCCCAGTGGGACCGTCCGCATGCGTCCCACACACCCACGTTGGCACTTCCACCCACCCAGTACAGCGTTTCGTGGCCCCAAAGGGAGCTCCAACGACGGCCCCCGTGCTACCGCCCGCACGCATTCCCCCCCACCCAGTGCAGCGCTTCGTGGCCCTATAAGGAGCTTCACCGAGGAAGATATTCACAATTGCGGTATCCATCACTGCATACAGTTGTTTTTTTTCGCCCGGATAATATAGGTGTTTATTATCAGTATTGTTTTGATTCGTATGGCTTCTATTACTATTCATCTTCGTTTTCTTCTTTCGATGCACCCCATTGGCCCCCGTTCGCCCGCGCATGTGCGTCGGACGGTGATGCGCGCCCCCCCTGCCCCCTCTTCCTGGCGGGGGACTAACAACTAGATTTTTGAAAGGGTCTCTGGTAGGCATCCTGGAGGCCTCTGGGGAGTTCATGGCGGCCTCTGCCATGGAGGTTTCGGGGGCCTCCATGGACCTCCGTGGACCAGGCCCCTGGCGACTCGAAACGTCGAGCTGCACGTCTTTGGGCAATTCTACGTTTCTCTTGGGGCTGGTTCCAGGCCCCGACCGTCAGCCAACGACTCGGGATGGCGAACCGGTGCCCAGGAAGGGGTGGAGAAGTCCAGGGGCCAGGAAGTCGAGCAAAACCGATTGTAAGAGGCTCGAGGGGTAGGAGGGGAGGAGAGAAAACGTGGGAAGGGAATGTTGAGGGAGGAAGGTGAGATGGCAGGAAGACGCACAGGTGGAAAGCTCCGTGCGAAACAATTTTTCCCGAAGAGGTTGTTGTGATTTCTTGTCGTTTGTTCAAGTCCAGCGTTCCCGAGTGCCCCTCTGAGCGATTTGCTGGTATTCACCAAATTTCGGGAAAGAAGAACGGCACCAGCACGGCCAGCGGGGCCACCCTCGGAGAGGATGTCCGTGACGCCTCCCCGAACTGGAGATAGGCAGTCTCTCGAGCAAGGCACCAGACAACGTCGTCGCCACCGGTTTAAGAGGACTATCTCTGTCGTTTCTTGGCAAAAGCGGTCCAGGCGCTGTTACTCTGTTGCCCCCTCGCCTTAGTGAGACTGATTTTGGAAGGAAGTGGAATTCAAATTGCCACACGACAGTCTAGAGTTGCGCACGCCACAACTTTGGCACGTTGCTGCTAGCTGATGGACGGGCCAAGGCCCCAGCAGGGTGCCACTTGTTCCTGACACATTCTTCGGTTCTGGACACTGAGAGGATGAGGCGAATCTGCGCGGCCGAGAGAGAGGTGGTGAACCTGATGTAGTCGGGTGGCCAGGTCGGACAAAAAGTCTCATACCGTGGCGTGGCGTGTCCGCCGATGGTTGGTGGGTCTTTCGACGGAAGGTTTGTCCCGTGGTTGCCTCACGGATGAGAGGGGTTGGGGGGAGGAGGAGGAAGCGGAGGGGGAGGAGGACACGGAGGAAGAGGAGGAGGAGGAGGAGGAGGAGGAGGAGGAGGAGGGGTGAGGAGGAAGAGGACCAGGAGACGGAGGAGGTGGAGGAGCAGGGGGCGGAGGAGCAGCAGTAGCAGGAGCAGGAGCAGGAGGAGGGGGTGAAGGAGGAGGCGGAGGAGGCGGAGGAGGCGGAGGAGGAGGAGGGGGAGGAGGAGGAGGAGGAGGGAGGAGGAGGAGGAGGAGGAGGAGGAGCAGGAGGAGCAGGAGGCGGAGGAGGTTGAGGAGCAGGGGGCGGAGGAGCAGGAGCAGGAGGAGCAGAAGCAGGAGCAGCAGGAGCAGGAGCATAAGCAGGAGCAGGGGGCAAGCCGGCCCGGGGCCGTCCAGCGTCCGGCCGCGGCTGCCAGCGCGTCGCGGCCGCTCGCCCGCTACAGCCCAGGAGCAGGCTCAGGCTCCGACGCCCACGCCCACGCCGGAGCAGGAGCAGTGCTGGCCGTCGCTCGGCGGCGCCGCGCCGCCGCCGTCGCACAGGTGGGGCGACGAGATCCAGCATACCCTTAAGTCGGGCGTGTCCCTCTTCAGGAGGGATACTCAAACATAGAATGGGGACTATGTTTTTGAGTATGTGTGAGCATTGTTTGGGTGCTATGTCCGATTTCTCGACCAAAATCCGCCTGCAGGAGGACACGCCCGACCTGAGTCCAGCATGCCCACAACCAGCCACTGCCCCGAGCCTGGGGCCACTGCCTCGGCCCAGGAGCGGTGCAGCTGCCTCCCTGGCCATGCGGCTGGGGGCGTACATTGGGCGGGGCCAGGACGAGGATCTAAGTCCGTTCCAGAGCGTTCCTCCTCCTCCTCCTCCTCCTCCTCGTCCTCCTCCTCCTCCTCCTCCTCCTCCCTTTAGGCCGCTGGGTCGAGGTTAGGATTTTGAGCGACCGAACCTCACGTACACTTGTACACCAGCGCGTTAACAGCCCCTCCCTTTCGCAGGCCCGCGCGGCAAGGATGCCTGGGGGGCTCCCATCGTCGCCGAAGCAGGGGCAGGAGGCACATCGTGGCCATAGATCCGATACTGTACCTTCTGTTAGCATAATGTTGAATTGCACTGTGCCGCCTACTTGTGTAAACTCTGAAACGAAGCGTCGAATGCGTATCCGAAGAACCCATGCAATAAATTCGCAAAAAAAGAAGTTTACTTCGAATGGCAGAGCCTATTTCCAGCGAGTCGCCCGGGCTAAGCTTTCTGGAATCGGGAGGAGACGGCATATACTCGTACGGGGCACGCTCTCTCACACACACCAGGGCTAGAGTTAGAAGCGACAGTAAATGAGGACGCGCCGCCTGGACTGGAGAGTGATGGCCACGTCGCAACAGAAACCACGGGAGCAGAACGAGACAACTCGGGCTCCTACAGCACGGTCGACACGGACGACTTTCAGTACGCCAGCCAATATAATTACACAGTTTGTTATTTTGAAGAACTGGTCGCTTCATTTGACAGCAATGGATTCATGCCACAACTCTCAGTAATTTCAAATAAATACCCCGACGGTCTACATTTGCGCGTGGTTCCGCCACAAGCAAATGCCTACAAAAGCGGGAAACTACGAGTTTATGTATCAATTCTTGGAGGGCGTGGACAGTCACATGGAAGGTTGAGGCACGACTGCTAGACAGTCACAAGCAACCACAGGGACAGCACCGCATGCATAAATCGCAGAGAGCCAAGTCGTCGACGGGGTTTTCGCAACACTGCTGACATCTCAATATGGAGAACTGACAGCGGAAGCAATACACCACAAACTTGGCAAACTTGGCGCAAGGGTCTCAAAGGAAACATCGTGTTGGCACTTGCAGGAATGGGTCGAAGTTGGGGCTGTCAGGAAATGCGGCGACATGTTTGAATTGTGGATTGGTTGATGTTACTCCACATTTCTTATACACGACTCGCCTTCGCACTTGCTTGCGGTGTATTGCCATCCTGAATCAAAACAATGCAAGGCTCACAAGAGCGCTGGCTGGCTACGCTCAGCACCAAATGGGGGCTGCTGCTGTCGCCTATCCACGGTTTTCCCCCCGTTCTTTCTCTCCCCCTTTGGTTAGGGGCCTTGGTTCCTGGCTTCGGCTGGCTCCCTCGGCTCTTCTCCCATTCCCCCTCCCCCCGCTCGCCGCGCGCTTTCAACCCTTCAGGGGTTGGTGGATCGATTCGGAAGATGGGGAGGCTGCAAGAGGCCCTGAGGAGACGGCGCTGGCTCGGATGGGGGGGGGGCGTAGATGCGGTTGCGTGGTGGAGGAGGAGCCAGCGTCCGACCCCCATCTGCCCAGGATTTCGAACGTCTTCCAATGGGGGGGGGGGGGGGGCGCCACCAACACGCGGTAGCCGCCCGCCACCCGCAATGAGCGGAGCCCCCAGAGCTGGAGGCGCGCCCGAGAGGCAGCCCCGACTGCCTTTTAGAATGCCCGTCGAGCCAGCAGGGGCCCCCTGCAGCGGGGCAACGAGGGCGCAAGCTCGCGCGGCCGCGCACCTGGCGCCCCGCCTCGCCCCAGGCAGCCTCGTGGGCCGCAGATGCGGACCAGGGGGGCGCGCTTCCATAATACTCCCTAGGGCCCCCTGCAGGATCCAGAGCTGCTGCAGACCATGGACCCCCAACGGCCTTTACCTCTACCTTTACCTCCTCCTCTTCCTCCTCCTCGCTGTCAGGCCAGGGCGTTTAGTGCCCTGCCACCTCGGCCAAGAGGTGCGGCGTGGGCGCGGGGAGACCCCAGTGGCACCTCCTGGTCTGAGGTGAACCGCCGTTGGCGATCACGAAGGCGGGGCCCGCGGCTTCCCGCCTGCAACCTCTTGGTTGCAGTGCTCTTTGTCGTGGGCATACTGTTGCCGTGCTTGCGGGGGCGCGGGCGCTGGGCAACGCTCCGTGTATTGTCCCTCGGGCGCCGATCCCGAACCCCCATGCGCCATCTTGGCGCGGGGTGTAGGGCGGTCCTTGGTTTGCTTTCTTTGTCTTGATTTCCTCTCTAAGGCACGTCGTTTCTGGCGCTATTGGGAGTTAGTCAGGGAAAAGGAAGCCGGAGGCCAGGTGCCAGCTTGCGTCCGTGATTCCAGTTCTTTGCGCGCGTGCCCTTGGCGTTGGCTGTTGGCCACTTTGGCCATTGGCCAGGGCACTTTGGCCCGCGTTTCGTTGACAACCACGGTTTGTTTTGCCTCTTTGGGCCTGCACCATCATCCTCCTCCCCCTCCTCCTCCTCTTCGTTCTCTTCCTCCTTCTCCTCCTCCTCTTCCTCCTCCTCCTCCTCCTCTTCCTCCTCCTTCTTCTCCTTCTCCTCCTCCTCCTCCCCCTCCTCCTCCTCCTCCTCCTCCTCCTCCTCCACCTCTCCCTGAACGTCCTGGAGCGCTTTCAGAGCGTTCTGGAGAGTTGTGGGACGGCAGCGGCGCCCGAGACGTCCCCTAGGGCCGCCGGATCCCAGAAATTCCCGATGTTCCCTCACCCAATTTCAGCCTCGTCCTGGCTTTGTCTCAGTACGCACCGCCCCCGGGCCTTGGATGGGCCAGGCCTGCGGCAGTGCGGAGGCGCACAAATCGGCCACGCGCAAGAGTGGCCAGAGTGACCCTCCGCCAGAATGGCACTGGTGCGAGCACACTGGGGTCCCCAGATGGCTGAATGCGGTGCGATTGTAGCAGCTTCCGCGCTCAGGTTGGGCATCCCCGCGCCCCCCGAAAATCGCGCACCAAAGGCCATTCTTGCCTAGGGTCACCTCGGCGTGTAGCCGAATATCGGGGACCGCATGCGAACCCTACCCCGCGGGGCCGCCCGAACGAAGTGAACCCTACCTGCCCCCTTTCGAGATCGTGGGGTGGTGGGGCAGGGCTCGCGTGCATTATCCCGATCGGGGGTGGACAGAGCCCCCACCTTGATACGTCGATTCGAGAATTGTCCGTTTTTTGTTCTCGAGAGGATTCCGCGGCCGTCATTTTCCAGGCTTGCGCCCGCCAGGTTTTGGCCCGAGGTCGTTTTCACCGGACCACGTTTTACCAATGGGGGTTTTGTCCATTCCCGAGAAATCTCAGGAGGGGAAAAACACACAGACACAAGGAATCGTCGACTCCCAAGAAAATGTATGAAAACAT